TTGAGTAGTAATTCACTTACTGTATTAAAGAACGTATCTAATCTGATAAATTTAGTGAAACTGGAACTGAGCCATAATAATATCAGAGAGATTTCTTTTGATATGCTAAACAATTTGTATAGCCTGCAGAGCTTATCTTTACATCATAATGATTTGAAAAAATTGAGTCTAGGTTGTTTCAGAGATTTGAAGGCACTAACAGACCTCAATTTGAGCTATAATCGATTGACTAATATTTCCTCAGGAATCTTCAATGGGTTGAACAGTATTGTTGAGTTGGATATAAGCTATAATAATATAAGTATCTTTGATGAAGATATATTTCACAATACAAAAAATTTGAGGTATCTCAGCATTGCCTACAACAATTTGAGTAATGTTAATATACGCAGAATTCTTTCACATACAATATGGTTAAAAGAAATTAATTTGAATGGAAACAATTGGACTTGTAGGTCATTAGTCAACATAGTGAGAGAAAATAAAATAGTGACTCTCACAGGTGGCAACTATTTCAATGTTAGTAATATTTATGGAATACCCTGTACTGACATCAATGATGAACATGAAGAATCTTACATGCATGATAGTTATTTAACTTCTGATATTAGTGAATTATTGAATTCAACCAGAATGTATGTTAGAGACATCTCATTCAAACTGAGTATTTTGAACACCACCATCATCATAGCATTTGCTGTTATTTGCTGTAAGGTTGTTTATGACAAATATTCAAAACGTATTTCAGTTGGTAAGCAATTTATTTATCAAAAAACTGTCAGTGATCAAGAAATACATCTCATCTGATCGGCTGGCTGAGAATTACTTTTTTGAAATCATTCACAGAGTATACTGAATAAGTAAATCAATATGAAAAAGAAAAAAACTATGTAAATGGTTTGTAACACATATCACTGGATCTTGGCAAGTTCCTACCGATTTGAACAATGATGATGGAAGATACATAAATATTCTCATAAATAGGCATATAAATAGGTTTAACTGAAGTAAATGGTATTGTGAGACTACTGTTAATTCATGAAATGTATCATTCTGTAATTTTTGTATTCAATTATTATTACATCCATAAAACTCCATGTGTATTGACAACATATATTTCAATAGTGGGATGATGTAATGTAGTCAGTTCAGCATTATGTAAACATTTTCTGAATATTAAAATATTTTACACAATAAAAACTTATTGTTTGTTGAAAAATGGGTCTTTATATTTTGGCCACTATATGTAGGCTTTATTAAAGAAGAAAAATCTTTGAATGCAAGAATCTTACGATTTCCTTAACAATATTTTTGTGGTATCAAAACAATTGAATTAGCATCAGAAAGTTTATGAAAGAGATGTGTCAACTAGTTATTTATGCAACAAGTGCAAAAAGTGAATGTTTATTGCATTCGACGTGAAATTGTCCGACGAGGCCGTCAGGCCGAGTTGGACAACACGTCGAGTGCAATAAACAATTTTTGCACGAGTTGCATACAACATTTTTTCTACGTTCATGCAAAAAGCAAAAAATGATTTATTGAGGTGCGGCACTAGGTACAATTCTGTTAATTGTCAGAATTAATTTTTGACTGACGTTTCTATAACCACAGTTGCATTATAGAAAATGTTTGTCATGATGACAGCACGTTGAAGTAGAATGACAGATGAGTGCAATAAAAACTTTATTGCACTGAGTGCAATAAAAAACTTCTTTTTCCACTAAATATAGTTCAATAAAGTTCTGTTTATTGCATGAATGTAAAAAAAAATATTATTGAAAAAGCCATTGTTGTCAAAGATCTACAGTCAAAACAAACTACACTTGTACATAGGGGCCAAAATACAAAAAAAAGAACTAGGAAAAATATTCCATAAGTCCAAGAAACTTCATTCCTGGACAACATTATTCGGGTCGATTCTGTTCGGATCTTTGTTATAACATTGCTAAGATAATAATATTGTTATGATCATAACATAAAACAATATTGCTATGAAGTTCTGTATTCTGTTTGCAGAGTAACTGCAAGATTGGTTATAAGTTCAAGTGATAGCAATATTGTTGAAAAATTGAGAATTTTTGAGCTGACAACACTGTTTTCAACTCATTTTTTAAGTGTTAGGTATAGATTTTGCCATTATTCCATGAAGAAGAAGAGTTCAAGATCATCTAACCTCTCAAATTAGTCAGTCCTGCACTGACATTTTACAAAAATATATTGTTCAAATTGAGAGATTTTGTATTTGCTGAATCTGGTCATCGTTGTGTGACTGGTGCAAGTAATCAATCATGTCCCCGAAATGAGAAAACAACTAAAAGCCGGATGAAAATGATCGTGATTTTTTTTTTAATATTCTTGCAAACTAGCTTGATAAACTATCCATCAGGCAACTGAAATGGTTTTCTGATTTCTCTGATATGCCGAAATTGAAGTCTCATATTCCCTATACAAATTGGAACTTCAAGAAAAGGTTTTCAAGTTGTTGGTCACAGTAGTGAACCTATCCTATATGTTTGTAATCACCATTCTAAGTTTTTCAATAATTCTTCTACAAATTGAAACTTTGAGGAAAGGTTTTCGAGGAGTCAGTGACACAAGTGAACTCTGATATGTCTTAAATTCACTATTTTCTGAATTTTCTTACACTTGGAAGAACTTGTTGTGCAAAAACAAAGAATCCACTACCTTGTTATAAGATAGCAAGCACAAAATTGATGTTGCCGAGATAGCAAGAATGCTGACCAGATGTCATTGAAATTGACAGATCATATTGCCAAAAATCAATGATTAGAATTCCACTTTTTCGAATCTTGCTGTGATAGCAATATCTTCTCTACAACCATATTGCTATTTGCAAACAGAATCGACCCGATATGATATCAAAAGAAAACAATATTGCTTTCATATAAGTGGATATTAAAAAAACATTATTCTAATGGTATGAATATTTTCAAGAAACAATATAGAAGCTGCTGATCTACATGCTCCTGGAAGAAATGACTAGAAATTAAAAGTATTTTCTGAGGTATTTTCAATCTTCATTATTATCCAATATGGAACAATAGTTATTAAACTGTCAAATTTTTGTAAACAAAACATTCCAAAATGAGAATTTGTGATAGTCTATAGCTTTTTGGATATCAGAAGGTGTGAAAAAATGGAATAAAAAATTCAGGTCCATATGTAAAAAAAAATAAGTTGATGGTTTCTATCAATTTTTCTAAACAAAACATTCCCAAATGGAAATTTGTGATAGCTTTTGGATATCTGAAGGTGTGAAAAAATAAAATAAAAATCCAGGTCAATATGTAGAAAAAATGAGTTGATGGTTTCTGGAAGACAAAATGTCAGATTTCAAATTTGAGACCGCCAACTAGTAGGGAAGAAAAAGTGGCCATGATGAAGTGGCATTCATTTCTATGAATTTCTTCAATTAACTTAAAAAAAAGTTTTTAAAAATGTGTGCTCTTTTCTCCTATATCTGAAAGTATTTGGATTCTTTCCAGTTTCGAAATGGTATTTTGTTAGGCATGAAATTGGGGTGTGTATAATTTGAGGACTGGAATAAAATGTTGCAGACTGGCTATTTCCATCAAACTTTTCGATGTTTTTATTGCATATCTGGATTCAGCTCACCAATATACATGATGAGAAGTTTCAGTTTCTTTTTATGACCCCCCTGGGGAGCACTTTACTCTTGTTTTTTTTCATAAAATCTTGCGGACTGGGTATTTTCGAGAGTCAAATCATCTCAATTTCACCATAATTCGATTTATCTCATGAAAATACATGATGAAGTTTTTGAATTTTTTACCCAGCTTCCCTGGGGAGCACTTGACTCGTGTGTTTTTTCATAAAATTTTGCGGACTGGGTATTTTTGAGGGTCAAATCATCTCAATTTTACCATAAATCGATTTATCTGATGAAAATACATGATGAAAAGTTTTTGAATTTTTACCCTAGCCCCCGAGCTAGCCCCCCTGGGGAGCAATTTACTCTTGTGATGATTTGACCCTTAAAAATATCCAGTCCGCAAGATTTTATGAAAAAACACATGAGTAAAGTGCTCCCCAGGGGGGCTGGGGAAAAAATTCAAAAACTTTTCATCCTGTATTTCCATGAGATAAATAGATTTATGATGAAATTGAGATGATTTGACTCTCAAAAATACCCAGTCCGCAAGATTTTATGAACAATCACAAGAGTAAAGTGCTCCCCAAGGGGGCTGGGGGAAAAATTCAACAACCTTTCATCTTGTATGAGATAAATCGATTTATGGTGAAATTGAGATGATTTGACTCTCAAAAATACCCAGTCGCAAGATTTTATGAACAATCACAAGAGTAAAGTGCTCCCCAGGGGGGATAAATCGATTTATGGTGAAATTGAGATGATTTGACTCTCAAAAATACCTAGTCCTAGGATTTTATGAAAAAAACACAAGAGTAAAGTGCTCCCCAGGGGGACTGAAGAAAAAATTCAAAAACTTTTCATCATGTATTTTCATGAGATGAATTAATTCATGGTGGAATTGAGATGATTTGACTCTCAAAAATACCCAGTCCACAAGATTTTATGAAAAAACACACAAGTTAAGTGCTCCCCAGGGGGGCTAGAGAAAAAATTCAAAAACTTTCCATCATGTATTTTCATGAGATAAATCGATTTATGGTAAAATTGAGATGATTTGACCCTCAAAAATACCCAGTCTGTAAGATTTTATAAAAAAAACCCAGGGGGGCTAGGAAAAAAATGCAAAAACTCTTCATGTGTATTTTCATGAGATAAATTGATTTATGGTAAAATTGAGATGATTTGACCCTCAAAAATACCCAGTCCACAAGATTTTATGAAAAAAGACAAGAGTAAAGTGCTCCCCAGGGGGTCATAGAAAAAAAACTGAAACTTCTCATCATGTATATTGGTGAGCTGAATCCAGATATGCAATAAAAACATGGAAAAGTTTGATGGAAATAGCCAGTCCCCAACATTTTATTCCAGTCAGCAAATTATACACACCCTGAAATTGCACAACTTTGCCAGATTTTAATGTTTACAAGATCCTCAACTATTAGAAAACATACTCTCATGCTGTAACCTAAGTACTTCATTTCCATAGCTTGTCCACCCTGGAAGTAAATATCTAGCAAAAATTTCCAAACATACTGGATTTGCTGGTAAAAAATCTTGCATTATTTCAATTAAAGGTGGTTTGTGGGAGTGTATAGCACTAGGAACACTTACAACTAGCTGACCATCTTTGGGATTTGGTTGGGAACGTTCTGTACAGCCAAAAACAATTTTCTCATAAGGTTGTTTACCAGGAGGCTCAGAAAAAGGACACACTGGTTTACCTTGATTGGTTATTTTCATCCAGTACCACTTGCCAATATACTGTATGTTCCATTTTGGAAATATGATATTCACTAGGTAATTGAAGTTTTGTTCAGAGTTAGTGCACCAAACAGCCACTAGGCCATTTGGCTTCATAATATTTTCTATGGGGATATTTTTCAGATCAAGATTAAACATCATATTATAAGCATCATTGGACTTCTTCCTTTTTCGCCTAATGTACTTATTCCACCATGGTGGATCTAGGAGAATGAAATCAAAGTAATTAGATTGCAAATGTTCATGAATGTGCCTGACATCCTTGGCATAAAATGTGGAATTTTCAGGGAACAAATAAATAGAAAGGTTGACCATTTTCTTAACTGCAGGTCCAGTATTTGCACCAAAGGCATTTTCAACTTTGTGTTTTCCAGATTCCTCATATATCAAATCAGCCGTTTTCAAGGCAGTGTGGTTATTGTTGTTTTTTGAGTTTGTAACTTCCTTTAGGAATAAATTCACTATTTCCCTATCACTGATGAAAAGGTGAAATTTTCTCCTCACATTCTCATGTTCTTTTTGCAGATGATCATCATTTATATGGTTCTCCTTATGGACCTTTTCAATTTTATATGGGTTGCATATATTGAATAACGATTCTCTCACTGAATAACTTTCTCCATTCACATTATCATAAATAGAGTCAAGATACAATTTATGGGAAATATAAATACCATATTCATTTTGGAATATTTTACTCATCATAACATAACACACGGAGGATTTTTCATGTAAAATGTAAATAATCTGAAGTAAGGTGCCAACACTGCCAACTCGTGGTGCAGCGAACATCGTGATGGTGCCAACCTCAAATGCAGTCCCTGTACCTAAAATAGCTGCTAAAATTTACGAACCTTTCCGATTTACCAGTGGCGTGTAATGGGTGAAACATTGAAATATAGCCTGACTTTTCTTATGTTGTACAAGTGTTGTACAATGCACAAAAAATTCAGCAAGAAAAGCAGGAATCCGTTTTCCAGGTAGGTGAGGTAGGTACATTGTGATCTGAGAGTACTATAGTCACTATTTTGAAATTTTGTCATTTCTCGTTGGAATGGAAATACTCGCGAATTACAGATTCTGCTTCACCAATCAGAATACGAAACGCAAGAAGCAAAACGTAAAAAGTTTGGTTGTGAACGCCGCTTTAGTTATAAGCATTTCCGTTGACATAAATGACATTTACGTCGCCGTCAGGCATTTCAAAACCATAGAATTGGATCATCTATGATCTAAGGGCAAAACATATGTTTTGTTTGTTTACATTATAAACAGGATTAATAAATCAAAAATATTATTTACCATTCATCAATACATTTGTGCCTGTTATTTGTTTTCACAATTAATATAGGTCGCGTGTGAACAATGTTGTTAAGAATTGTGCTTAATGATAGCATCCATTAGATTCTGCATCTCTGGTGAAACTATATTCCAATGAGGCAATGAATTAATTGGTAATCCAATGGGTATTGATAATATTTGTACATGGTAGGTTTATAGATATTGTTATTAATTTTTCTGATCCTAATGTCACAAACAGTTGCAGTCTTTTTTGTGGTTTTGCCTTTAAATTCTGTTTCTAGTTAGACTGGCTTATATTATATAAGTAATCCACTTCAAAACATGATTCTATGCATTTTGCAAAGGTTGTTTTACATTTACATTTATTATATCAATCAAACAAATTTTCATAGTGAGTAATGTGTCAGGTATCAACACAAAATTGGAACTTATGATAAACAGAAGTGGGAAACAAAAATAGAACAAAGGGAACAGAGAATTTATGGATTGAATCATATCCAGACAAGAAGTGCTACACCCAATACAGATTTGATTGATCTTGATCTAGTAAGAGGTAATTTTTGTCCAAGTTAACCTTGAGTGTCTGCTGTGGGGCTGCGAGTCTGCTGTTTTTTTTTTAGTTATCAGGGTTGTAGTTGCTGTGGTAGTGGTGTGAATGAGGTACATGTGTAGCTTAGGTGTCAGTTCTCATTTTGCAAGAAGAGGTGTGTACCTACCTACTCATACATATTTTTTTCAGGTTCCTCTTTCACCAAAGCAAAACCAAAACATGGTGTTATCAAAGTAACAAAACTAGCAACATTGAGATGCTTGCTATTTCCTTTTTATGGAAAGTGGTGGATTACACAAACATCCAAATATGTATTTGGAATCAGCCTCCTTCTTTATATTTCTCTAGTTATAAATACAATTATTTATTTAATCAATAATTCAACCACCAGCACTGTGAATTCAGAAGTGAGTATGTTATATTTATGATTTGTAGTGTCCTCAATTTTGTACTAATTCATCATATTCTTCTAAAATATCTGCTGGTAGGACAACAGTGTTCACTTCATTTTCATAACTGTTGAGAAGAGGTGAAGATTGAATCACTCTGGAGGATAAAATTCATCCTTAATTTGATGTAGACAACTAGATTTACCATAAATGCATCCCATCCTCTCCTGTAACTTGGTTAAATAATAATAATGATGATAATAATAATAATGATAAAAATGATAATGATTGTTCTTTATTGGTTAAACCAAATGGCCAATAATGGAGATCCTTCAGCCAGTAAGAATTTCCCCATTTTTTAACTTTTCAACTTGTCTATGTATAAGTATATCATAGTATATCCATATCTATGACAAGTTCACATTGTGAACTGGAAACTCCTCTTAAATGTTGTTGAAAAGTGGGAAATAGTGATAGACAAATTTTCAAATCTCTATCAGGGTAAGATGGTATCATTATTGTGACATTACCAGACTCAAAAGTCATAGAAAAGAGATGGGACTACATAACATTTCCTTGATTCAAAAATTATTGTGTGCATGAGTGTGAATTCCATGAATGTACAGGAAGCACATTAAATAGTATATGGGCCAACAGCATGAATAGGCAAATAATAACAACCTGTACAAGTAGAGTAGGTATCACTTAACTGAGCATGATAGCATTGATGAAGCCCTCATTGCACAGCAGAATCGATACTGAAGGACTCATTAATTATTACTCATATAAGTGATTTGAAAGAACTAGTTTCCAAAAGTGCAGTTAAAGTGAAACAGTTGAAGCAAGAAGTAGAATATTTGAAAACTGACAAAAAAAAATTGGAATGAGGCAGAGTTGAATACTAACTTGGACTTCAACTTGACAGATGATGATGTTTAGATGTTTATACTATCAGAAGCAGTGAAGAAAACAAGCCCATTCTCCTGGAATTTGTGAGAGTCATAACAAAGATCAAAGTGTTGAAAAACAGTAGAAAGTTGAAAGGTAAAAATCTATCTATAGTTGAAGATCTCTTGAAAGAAGAAAGATCTGAGAGAAAAATTGTGGTGAACCATTTGAGAGAAGCATGAAGAAATAATAAAAATGCTCCTCTTTTTTTTTTTAAATAAGAACTTTACATAGATAGGAAAGGTTTTACATACTCAGAACTACTAGAACTACAAGAACAAAATTGTGAAGAAGCTTTATTTGCTGAAAACTGACCTAGAAACGAGACTACTACATCCTACAGTCAGAAAAGGACCACTTCTTCACCTGTAGACCAGACTCATGAGGAATTGACTAAGAAACAAAATATATGTATATAATCTGGCCCAGGTACTAACAGATAGCTGAGCTCAACAGGGAAGCTGAACAGAGTAAAATAAGAAGAAAAAACTGTGTGTAGATTAGGAAAAGATTACTTATAGTATAGATATAAACTTGATATTTTGTTTTGATATTTTGAACTTGTAAGAGTATAAATAATTATTTGCACTATAATCAATAAAGATAAAAATGGATCCATATGTACAGTTGTGTGCATAAACAAATCATACAAGGTTTATATTATGATGTTCCAGATTTCATCAGTAAAAAGTAGTACACATACACATATGTACATTATACTGACAAAAATAGTTTGAATTTTGACACTACTTGTCAAAGTGGATAAGAAGATTAATCAAGATTGACAAGCCTGGCTCACAATAGCCTATAACTGCTGTACAACTTGTTCATGCACACAACTGTACGTGACTAACTACACATCCCTGGATACGGTGGAAATATCATCAATGATCTAAATAATCATGTAGGAATATTGACAAAAAATACCTTCAGACTGTTTCACCAGAATATACATAGTCTATTGTCAAAAGCTGCTTCACAAAAACTCGGATTCTTGTTCCGTGTGAAAAGCTACTTTACACCTCAACAGCTCCTCATGATCTACAAATAGTCCAATAAATAAAGGGAAAAAGTTAACATTAATTACGCACTATTTTCATCTTCCGGTTGGAAGTAGCTTTTGGTAAGTACCTCATTCAACATGAGACAAAGTTTGACTGGAAAACGCATGCGATGGCGGAGAAAATGGCCCCAAAAGACCAGAAAAATAGGTTTCCAGCCAATGTCTCCTAAAATATGGCAGTTAGAGATTTTCGGTTCAGATAAAAATTGAAGTTCAGTTAATTTTCTACAAAAATGGTCCTTATCATTTTTCTCGAAAATTTGCCCGGTTTCGAGAAAAACGGCACGAAGCGCACCTCGAATAATGATGAGCTTCTGTGTTGTATGCCGGAGAGCACAGTCCGTGTATTTACACATCGGCGGGCGGACAAATTATTCAATAACTTTGTTAAAAATGCATATTTTCTCATGATTCAAAGTTCATGTGAAAGAGGAATTCTGCTGCTATATACATATAAGATATGATCACCTCATTATATAGACCATCAAGTACATATCATGTGAATTAATAAGTATCTTGCAAAGGAGAGTATCTGAGAATAACAAACTATATATTAGTCAATGAGAATATTATTGTAGGAGACATGAATTTGAATTTACATGAAGAAAACGAATTGATTTTCGGATATCTAGTACTACAGTGAATTGAATTTTATATCTGCTATTATTAAAGTCAAGTAATGCCAATGATATACAGAATAATAGTAATTCTATCGAATTCGACACGAACATTAATGATCATAAAGCAACAATAATTATCTGTTTCACTACAATGAAAAACACCACTGAAAGAATAACTGGACTTCAGGTTACTGATGAGGATATGATATCCGAAATGAACTCATATAACCTGTTTGTGAGAGATATGGCACATGACATCTATCATATATGTACAGTGTGTCCCTAGACCAGTGGGACAGTTGAATATCTCCTGAACCGATAGGAATTTTCAAAATATTATGATTTCACATTATATCGCATTATGAGTGCTAACTTCAGGAATGACTATATTTTATACGAGGGGCGCAAGAAAGGCTCACAAAATCGAACATCAATTTTTTCAAATGGAACACCCTGTATTCCATTGCATTTTCATATTCTCCTTGATGAGCTGAATATGACGAATAGCACACTTGGGGTCTAGCGGGAATGATTTCCGAGATATAGGGTGTGGAAAATCGAGATTTTTCATTTTTGGGGAATTTTTTGTGTCAAAACTATTCATTATTGGTCAAAACGGATTTACTATTTACTCGTATTCAATTGAAACAAATACAGGGTGGTGTAGAATTCTGACTGAAACTGAATATATCTCGGAAAATGGCTGCTCCAAGATGGCGGACAAGATTTGGTCCGATTCCATTCAAAATTGTTGAGCGGGGGTTTTTGAGGTCGGAGATCATGATTTTTTTGTTAAAATTTATAAATTCAAGATGGCGGCATCCAAATAATTTTTTTGTTCTTGTATAAATGACGATAACTCCGTTGTTATCAACACAAAACTATTACTGCGACATATCATCTGAAACAGAAAAAAAAGTTATTTGTAACTAAGTCATAGTGAGCTATGACCTACATTTGAAAAACTAAAGTTGGTGCTGATATCTCAAATTCTAGAAGCGTTGGTATAAATTTAATATTTTTTTCGAAATCACTTTGAAAAACTGCCATGAGAATATGAAATTCCTATTTGAATATTTTCATAAATAAAGAAGTTACGGAGGAGACATGAAAATGATCAAAATCTGTTTTTTGCGTATAAAACAAAAAATAGATTTTATCAAAATATTTTTTCTTATTATAGTTGGCCTTGACAAACTCCACATTTGGTGTCATTTCACCGACCTCGTATCTCTCACCGTTTAAAAGATACCCATGGTGAGCATGCTAAGTGGGACACACTGTATAGAAGTGACTTGGTGACACTCACTCATGATATATCCTACTTTTTCCCTGTTTTTCTAGCTATATTTCTGAAATTTGGAACATCGAATATGCTCACTAGAGGGCACTTCCTCATATTTTAGGAAATTTTTTATATCATCCAGTTTTCCTGTACATGACATCAACTTTCCTTTTTCAAATGGAACACCCTGTATTTTATTCCATAATCGGTTAGATATTATTATAACTAATTCAACGATACCGTTGATTGATTGTATCGTTTCAAACGATTACGAAGTTATTCGCGTTCGAAGTTCCCATAAGCTCAATGAGTGTGACAGAGAAAGAAGTTTCGATATTACGCCGTCACACGTCACACGTCAGGAAATACAAGAAATATTCTGGGATTGTTCTTGTTGTTCTGAAATTGTTCCTATCCGTCATTCGGTGACCCCCTTACGAGCAACCCTCAGAAGTCTTCAAGAGACTTGTGCGAGCAAGGAATGACGGGGGTCTTACCTTTCAACGTGTGATCCCAAATACTTTCTTAGGCCATCAGAGAAATTTCTGCGGTCGTGGTGGGGATCGAACCCACCATCCGGCAATCCAACGTGGATAGAACATTGACGATCTAACCCGTTACCACCGATACAACAAGGCCTGCATGCTCCGTGGGTGACGTCACTTAGTGAGGCCTAACCAGCGGCTCGAAACGACAAGCGCTTATAGCGCTTTAAGGCGACCGCGTATTTCGATTTTAGTTTTAGATCATCATTGAGCCGATTTTGCTGTTTTTTGAAGGGCTTCCGGTTAAAAAAGGATGCCAGTCGTCAACTGAGCCCTTCTTCGCACCTCATTCGATTTTATTATCTAAAAACGAAGTTTTAAAGCAAAAAACCAGGATAAAACACAAATATCCACCTACAGCAACCCATTCGAATTGAATATATTGGCAAAAATTGTGGTGAAGGTAAACTTCACACCTACTTATACAGGGCCTTCAGAACATAAACTTATCGTGAGATTGATCGAAAGAAAATTGTGGAAAATGTATTTTATTTTGATTGACATGCCGTTTGTTACAATTACCTATATTTATCTTGGAGAATTCCTATTACCTGAAAAAATAACCAGTGAGTGTTTTCAATTTTCTGTTGTTGGATTTTTCACCCAAGTGGATCGTTACACTTGAAACCGTAATTTTATCATGCGATGATTTTTTTTGAAATTTGTTTTCGGTATTCACGTATTTTTGTCTGATAAGCCGAATTTTATAATGAAAATGTGAACAAACCACTATTTATTGAGATATTTCAAGAAAAAGTTCGAAATTTCGCCTCCTTTCTCCCCTTGTGTTGGGGGCATTTGAAGCTACTTGCTCTTATTTTGTCATTGGACACTTTATATACTCATGATGTACTTCGATGGCACATCTTCATATAGAAAATTCAACAGGAAATATGATTTTTATGGCGAGTTTTTCATATTAAGTGAACAAGCATTCCAGATGACGACCATTTAATCAATAGTCAATCAAAATACGAGATGTCAAATGTCAATAGATTGCTTTCGATTGACATTACACACGCCATTATTTTGAATGATATTTTTCCTTCTTTTTACTAAATATGGATTAATCTCAAGAAAATCATATTTATAGTTGAATTATATATAAATTGTCCAATATGATGAAAAGCATTTCAAAAACATACGTGAATCACCGATGAATTAACACGAACTGACGCGTTAGTCGACAAGCGATAAAATAAAACACTGGCCTCTCTTGGTGACGTCACGAGCTGTTTACGTCAGAGTCTGCTGGCCTTGTTGTATCGGTGGTAACGTCTAACCACAGATTAACAAACCTTGGTTTGCTACTCTGTGCTCAAACCACGAAGCCACAGACGATGCTACGCTGGCCACTCTAAGAAATATAGGCAATAAACAAAAAATACGAGCAATTCTGATTTTATCGCAGCAATAACAAGAAATACTGGAAATATATTCAAAATCTCCTGAAAGTATTGCCGATTTGGCATTACCTGTACCGGGTGAACATCTAAGAACGGCTGTCGGCCATATCTCAGCTACGAATAATGATACAAGTTTGAGATAGAATAAATCTAATGGTATGCATATCATTACACGATGTAATAGAGAAACTTAATCTCAATAACAAACCAACGAAAACCGCAACATGATAGCTTTTCGCCAACGGAAGATATTAACTACTATCAAAGTTGGAAGAATGATAGTCGTTCTAAGTTGTTCACCCGGTACATATCTCAATCAGTGGTTCACCTCTTGGGAATTGATTGATTATAGAATTTGGTGCATTTCTCCCGACAATTCCAACGGTCTCTGAATACATACAAGGTGTTTTTGAAATAAGTGCAAATATTCAGCATATTATTATCAATATGACACAGTCTAAGGAATATACCAATGATATCAGATTTGAAAAGGAATATTCTCAGATAAATTATGAACATACAAAAATGGATATATATTTATATAAAGCAATACATTGAGAATTCGCATTCTCTATGTGATGAGAATATTTACTCTTTTTCAGTTAATTCAATAGAAAACAACTACTTTCCTGGCTATATGCCACGACGAACATTGAATTATATCTATTGAACACACACGATAAGAGTTTGAAAATAAAATATAAAAATTTCTGAAATTGAGAATTTGCATTCTCCTTCAGACAAAAATATGTATATACACACATCATTCTGAATATTCAACAGAAAACAACTACTTTCCTGGCTATTTGCCACGTCGAACATTGAATTATATCTGATGAACATTCAAAAGGGGAACATGAAAAATAAAGAATAAAATCCTCCGAAATTGAGAATTGACATTCTTCTTCAAATCGGATGAATAATATGACTGTTCAGAAACTGATCAAAAGAGCTGCTTATTGTGATTTGAAAAACTACTGTATTGGAGGAATGGCTTGATGAAAGTAGTGATTAATTTAATAACATCAAAATACCGGATTAGAAGACATTGCATCGAAAATGTCATAAAAAATGTCTAATAATGATTCACATGAAATATTGAAGTAAATAAATTACAGACTGAATAAATCACAATAGAAGCATGTGATACTATTTGCTGAATATCAAATTTCACTGGTAGTTTTCTTGCAATGTTGCATTTGTTTTTTAATCTCTGCAACAAGAAGAAAATTTATATTTTACACATAACACAGAGGTACAACTCTTCTTCAGATGACATGACACATATGGACGGTGTTAGCTTTCTTGATCACCACTGCAATAAGAGCTCTTACACCGTCTAACAATCTGTGGTCTAACCGCGACATTTGAGAAGACGGTGTATCTCTCATTATGAGGATAGGGCTGCTGTATCATTGAAAAAAAACTTAAGAAATGATTCAAATTATACAGGGTGTCCCATAATTAGCGTGCAATACTTCATCAGCAGATTTCAAGATAAAAAATAAGAAAAAAGTTCTTGTAAACATAGGTCGAATAATGTTTCATGAGCGAGCTACACACCCCTAAAGGTGGTACCCTGAAGATGGTTTTTATTTTATACCTTCGAAATTGTTCAGAGCAGAATTATTGAGAAATTTTGCAAGTCGACCAATCTTTTTATGTCTAATGATATGCGATAATAATAATTTCAAAATTTCATCCAGATATTAGTCAAACTGTGGGGGGTGGGAGGTTAAATCGCCCCAACTTTTTCGGCTGCGGTTTTTTAGCAATTTCAGCAGAATCTTGACATGTTATGGATTTAATCACTACTTTCATCAAGCCATTCTCCTATAAAGTAATTTTTCAATTGAATTCGATCAGTTTCTGCAAAGTCTGCCAATCCGTTCTTGTGCTGGTCAAATCATCATCAATTCCATAATCAACCAGTTTAAACCACAAATGAAATTTGAAATATTACTTGATGAATTGAGTTCCACTGAAAGAATAACAAGTTCCTCCTGATCATATAATTCAGCATTGTTGGAGAATATTTGAAAGGACTATGAATTCTGGAAACCTTTATCTTAGGATGATAGTGTTATCGATATTATTTTTTTTAGTCGTTGTCATGTATGGAAATAATAATTCCGTTAATCATGATGTGGGTGCTGAGCTGGATCCATTCCCAAATAGTGGCCACTGCCTCTAGCTCAGAAATAAAAAAACCTAGGATGAGGCACAGGAGTTACAAACGACGAAATAATTTGAAGAAGAGACATAAAGTTGAGGATCCAGATGTATTGAGATCAAAAAAGGAAAAAGTGTCTAATAAAATCGAGAAGGAACTATTCAACCACATTGAGTTGTTGGATTCTACTAGTAATAAGACTATGTGAGTATTTTTTCTGTCTTGGACTTGGATCATACTTTGAATAACGTTGTTTTAATGGTAAATACATAAATACATCTGCAAACTTCTAAATACAGCAGTACAATTCAATTTTCAATCAATGAAAAATTAAATTTCCTGAAACTCATTTTCCTATTATAAGTATCAAAAATAATGAAAAATAAACAACAAAAATCTAAAGCTTTTTACTCAATTATTTTATATCAACTTGATTTTGCATGAAGAACATTATATTTCACTATAACTTAGAATGCTAATTAATGCTATTGACCAAAGGTGAAGTGAAAAGTTCAGGATGATATTCATTGCACATGTGCATCATTCTCGGAATTCCTAACAGGTCCGGTTAAATCATTATGTTACTGTTTTACACTGAATGAACATGAACATTTTCAATTAGTTTTTCAGGTTTCATGGAAATCTTTCCATTGAAACAATCATAACTACCATTTGAAATTCATTCATGCTCAATTTCCTATAACTATAACATGTTTTTTTTTTAACAAAAATTGTTGTATATTGTTTTTTTGCTGTACAATACATATGATAGTAATCTATTTTGAAGTATATCCAGACAGAAATACAAACTTTGTTGCAAATTTTATTGGGATTCAGTATGGACTTCAATATCGAACCTTCAAATTTCGAAGTTGGACTGAGGCATTAACTGTAAACTATAAATATATTTTTAGTATGTACTTGATGTACTTTATAACATTGTGAATTCCACTTTTCAACGAGCATTGAACAAAAATATATCAACTCCAACTGATGCGGAGTAAATTATGGGAATTCCAAGGCGCGTTTGAGGATATTTGTACAACAGAAATTGATATTTCATAAATCTGAATAGGTACTATTTATGTAAGGATGTTTTTCTTTTTCACTTCCTATCAAACTTACACTGAGCTTGTATCTTCAATTTCAAACAGTGAACTTCATTATTCCCATTTTTTCTTTGCAACATCATAGATCTTTTTAGGAAACTCAATAGTTTTGGTGGCGATGATCTCTGAAAAATAAAGTTGTATAATAATAAAATTTAATCCCATAAGCTGTTGTTTGAATTTCTTATCGATTGGGAATGATGAGAGGAAAATAAAATTGTATAATAATAAAAGTTAATCTAATAAGCTGTTATTCGAATTTCTTATCCATCCAGGTTTATGGTAGGCATATCACATTAGATAGGTATATCATTCAGCTGAAACACGTTTCTCTGAATTTTGATGGGAAAATATAATCATTTGTGGATTATATTACTAGAAAGAAAATTTTAATAACTGAACATGCTCAACTTGAATTTAAACCTTAGAACAAATGAATGAATGGACTTTGTTCCTTACGTTCAAAAAAATCTAGGAACACCTCTCTCACACAGTGTTACGTCAAAGGCCTTACAAACCGTTGATTATAGATAATACATAATATATCATATGAATGATTCAACATATATGTTATATCCTGACATCCCATTTGAACTTCGCGGAGAAGTCGCGAGGTTCATTTTCAGCATTTCTCAAGATAACAGTCTTGAATGCATATTTACGACTGGTAATCAAGAGACTAGAATGAGCTTTCAATTCGAATATCAAAATCAAGTGACATCATTTAAAATCAAAATCTCGATCAAAGATACATTTCAGTTTGAATAAAGTTTTTGAAGGTCAAAAAACCGTTCATCCAACGAACAGCGAGGCTCTGGAACACATTGCCAAGGGAGGTGTCCTCGAGGCATATAACCTCCAGAAATTTAAGAATAACGCCAATTCCTACCTTATTTTCCTTGGTTCTCACTATGTTCTCTGAACAATACAGGATATCCCTTTTCGTGAGAACCAGAACATAAAGAAAAAACAAAAATCCGAGAATTTAGTGCAAAACCAGAAAAATACTTTCCTGACTGAATATAGTGGGACAGATAGTTATTTATTATGCAAGGGAAAATTAGTGAATTTCAGCTACAGGTTGTGTTGTCACCTGACGCGTAGCTTTCGATTCGAACACATCAAAATCAAGTAACATCATTTAAAATCAAAGTCTCCATCAAAGATACATTTCAGTTTGAAATAAAGTGTATTTTTTAATAACCAACGAGTATCTCCCAAGTTATAAAATATATCACATACATTATTAGGTACTATAGTTGGTGACCTTTCCTCAATAAACTATACCGATAAAAGTGTTCAGATGTTTTTTTTCAACTCTTCAATATTTCAATACTAGACACCGTGGAGTAATTAAATGCCAATATCAGTCCACTTGCCCATTCACCAGTAGTTCTACTTTTTTCATTTCGCTCTCAAGTAATTGGCCGAAAAATATATTTTCTAGGAAGAAGGTTCATTTAGGCCGAGTTAGGTTAGATTGTTTGGAAAAAGCAGTCTCTTATGTAAATAAAATATTTTCCGAAAAATATACATTTAGGGTGAGTTAACTTAGATTGTTTTAAAAAAAGTCGTCTTCCTTGTTTTCTCAATTTATCGAAAAATATAGTTACGTTAGATTGTTTGGGAAAAGTAGTCTCATCTTTTCTCATTATGCAAATAGAATATTTTCCGAAAACTTACTAGGAATGAAGTTCACTTAGGATGAGTTAGCTTAGATTTTAAAAAAAGTAGTCTTTGCTGTTCTCTCAATTCATCGAAATATATACTTATTGGGAAGGTTCATTAACGCCGATTTCTAGATTGTTTTGAAAAAGTATTAAAAGCCACCGATGGCTTATTGTGTCGTGGGCTTATGTGTACAGGTTTCCTCATTCCTGAATATTTCATTTCTCTTGTCATTTCTTGCTAGAGCTTGAGATACCGTTTCGAAATTGATCGTGAGTTGATGATCGTAATATTTTACGGCAGAATCACTTATAGAATAACAACTCCGGACGTTCAGGAGGGGGGCTCTCACCAGTACGATTGGTTAATAATAGGATTCACCGTGCACTGTTGCAATTCCTTGCCCCCCTCCACTTTTCATACGACTAAAACTTATTTTTTCGTACGATAAGGTACTAGTTCTATATTCAAAAAGCTGATTTATAGTAAAAAAAAATAATTCTAACCAACCACCAAAGATTACCTTCGGCCGTCAGTAAACCGACCTTACCGTTCTTGATACTCACTACCTATATTATTGTATTAAACAAAGACGTAGGAAATAACATTATCAAATATTTGAAGATTGGAGTCGAATTTTTCAAGTTCAATTAATTTTGTAGCAAAAAATCGAATAAGTCAAATGTCAACATCACATTTGGAAAAAATGAAATCATTGGTTCGGAAGGTCATTTAGAAGATACATTGAATGCGTCTTGTAGCACTGATTCAGAAAGTGAGACAAAACGAGTCTTGAAACCAAAGAAAAAAACATCACTTGTAAGTATATACCATATTTTTTTGATACCAATGATTTTAACAAAACAGTTTAGTCTCACCCCATCACTTCCAAATAGGTTTCCAGAAGTAAGACACATATTCCCATTATAAACATCACATCTCAGGACAGTAATTGTGATTCTGAGGATGAACCTCTATCCTCTCCCGATATTAGACTTAATGGACCGTCGTTGGGGGATTTAACATCTTCGGCAACTGAATGGATAGGGGTAACTACCAACAGCGAAGATGGTAGCTATAGTTCTGATATGGATAATCTTTCTGAGAGTAATATTGAGAATGACAGGGATTATCCTGATAATGATTTGGCACCTACGGCTATATTGAGTCCTCCTTCTGCTAAAGGTAAAACAGATAATTAGAAATACGATGTGGCACCCAATAAATTATTTATATGCATACAGTTTGTAAACCTCTTGACAAATATTATAAATTGTGAGTTGATTATCATTGATAATAGACGAGATAATTTTATGACAATCGAAAGCTCGTTCCATGGTAAGCTGAGGGCTGTTACCAAGCAACGAGCTTGAGAAATTTGTCATTAAAAATCATGAGGCATTTGTCAATGTTCGCGGGATATTCGGCGGAAAATGTTTTGAAGTTGTCAAAGTCAATTGTGTTGTCATAGTGATTGATAATTGCACTGGATGCAATTATCAGTATAATGTTGGTTTGATTGGTTGTGATGAATCATATGACCACAAATTAACTGATTTCATTGGATTTCTACATGACCAAAACATTTTCACAAGGACAATAGGTTTTTCTTATTCAGCACCAATAGACACAATGTATACCTTGAAATATTACAAAGTCCAAAGTGTTAATGACGTGATTATGCTTTTATTTGCCAATTTTAATAATTCATTCATAGCAGTAGTTCTTGGAAGTATGTTTAGTCATTAGAAAATGAAACTTGAAAGTTGGACAAATTTCAATTATACTATTAGAGGTCTATAAGTATAATATCGAGGAGACTCGATTTGGATTTGAAAATTACATTATAGAATGTTGGTCATTAGCCAAACGTCTGAACATGGTTTATTCATTGGTAGAAGTCCATGTTTTTCTCAATGTGTAGTGATAGGATCGAAGAAAAGTGTAACTTTGATAGGTGATTCATACAGGTTTATTATTTATGCAAACTTCTGCCAGCTGCTGACTTGCTCTTGTTTTGTCTATGACTATATGTTGATACAAAAATGTGTGTGCTATTTATAACAATTATTGATGTCATTTTCAAAAATTATTAATCAATTAATTCACTTCCAGAACATAAAATATATAGATAGATATTTTTATTCAGATGAATTCAGTATAACAAAATCATACCAAGAAATAATTATCTACCTACAAAAATCATCTAGGTCATCTGAACAAAGTTTCATGTTGTGGAACTCCAGATTACTCAGATTTCATCAAAATGATGAAAAAAAAAACTAATTTCACAAGATATAGATGAACACCAAATCTAGGATACCACCTACCTTAACTTGATGTAGGTAAGTATATTGTATATTGTCCTTATAAAAATGAGTACACTTAATGTGGATACAAATCACACACATATAGGATCATGACAATTTGCTATTATTGTTGCAATGGAGCATGAAGGAGGTGAGCGTTTTGCAGGTTTTCAATATATCTGTGGTGCTATAAAAAATCCTTCAAGATGCTAGAAGTAATCTTGCTGAGGTTGGGCCATTGCCAAATCCACGGTAACCTCAGGAGCTGTTTTGAAGGATAATTCCAAATTTGCAAACATTATTCTACACATGACAAAATTGGAATTTTAGTGAGTTGAAACTTCTGTGAGTTGAAATGTTTCTTCCTCCATATTGGCTCAGAAAGGGCTTCCTGGGGCTGCAGCTATAGGCATGTTGTGGTCATATAAAATATCTCTTGGTTTTGGTATGGAATGTATGATACCTAACCCACCATGCGTCCACCTCCTTCGCCTTCCGTACGAACATAAGGATCAGATTTCTCAAAAGTATACTCTGGTCAGTTCTCTTTGCGGATTTTCTGTTCGATCCGTCTTGACTGTATTGTTTTCTCCAATTTATTAACAAGTATCAAACACTTTGCTTTTCGGATCTGCACATATATCAGAAAGTCCATGAGAATTAGAACTGATGTTGAATCTGAAACATACCTGAATAATATTCCCATCAACCGTAACTGCTTCATATTCGCTCTCCTTCCGAATAGTGGTCTTCCCAGTAGACATTTGCTACATTTTGAATTTCGTGGGTTATAATAAGGACCATTAATGCCAAACAGTGTGCTGCTCGGATCTAAAACTAAGCATCACAGATTTAAGCATCAATTTGAAATTTGAATCGTGAGACGTACATAGAATATAAATCTATAGTCTGAATATTGTTTTCAACATTCGTAACTGAAATGCGATATATTTTTACGATTATTCATCAATTCATCAACTCTCTCAATGCAGACGAGGTAGGCAGATAAACAACGATTTTCTCTGCAATTAGAAACACTGTAAATACCTAACCCACCATGCGCCGACCTCCTTTGCAGAGAGGGTTTATAAACGCCGAGTTGATACTCTCCCCGCGTAAGGGTACCTGTCGTGTTTCCATAGAGACATAAAGGTGAATATCTGTCTATCTGTTTGCTTGAGAATCTGGAAAGGAATTCAATATATCGCCTTCCGTACGAATATAAGGATCAGAATTCTGAAAAGTATACTCTGGTCAGTTCTCTCTGCGGATTTTCTGTTCGGTCCGTCTTGACTGGATGGTTTTCTCAGACTTAGTGGTAAGTATCAAACACTTTGCTTGCTGTCCGTTTGCTTGTTAGTCTGGAAAAGAAATCCGATTTAGACTATATAAATTCTTGCTGCATTACCGAAGTTTCCGCAATATTTTCATAATATAACAATTATACAATTTCGTATTTTTCCACTGCTAAATAACCCATTTCAATCCAAAGACCGACAGAGATGTCAAAAAATGCCTGTTTTGTTTCCATGGCATTTCTGTTGTGTCCACAGCTATCTAAATGTTATTGGCAACTTTGATTCAATCCGAAATGAGTGAAAAATGGTTTGAGGAAAAAAACTATACAGGATGTCCGGAAAGGTAATATTGTAAATGATAGGACGGGTAGAGTGAGCCAAAATAATGTTGGTACTCCATATAAAAAAAAGTATATCGCGCTTCGTTTCGGAGATATTGACCTTGAAAGTAAGATTGAAAAAAAAAAGAATTTCATGCATATAACTTCCAAACTATCATTATTTTTTGAAATACTGAAAATGTAACAAGCACTTGAAAATATCTAATTAACCATTATTCTATGGAATGAAAACTATCGATAGTTCACCTAATTTGACTCAAAGGAAGTTGAACTTTGGAACTGATAATTTTTTTATGATAAAATTGGACTTTGAATTAGGAGTTCAACAAAAATTCTATTCCGAAAAATGATGATAAAAAAAAGTCAAATTGGATGCACCCTGTTGAAAAGTCGCTGAATATTTTGACTATTTTGACTCCTAATATCATTTTCCGGAAATTGGGGTGGTTCCATGGCTGTTGGCGAGCAGTGTATATCACTGAGGATGGCCCCACTTTGTCATAGAGTGCATTTTTGGTATATCTCTCGCTCCAACAAATTTCAGGATCCTTACTCAACGATTACGTAAGATACAGGGGTGTTTCTATTAGAAGTGGGTCACACTGTATATCTGCAGGTATAGAATGTACATTTGAATCTGAAACACCCTGTATAGGCAAAAGGTATTTTTCCATGAAAATTTCGAATCGTCTTCTGGTTTGCTCATTTCGCATTATTATCTTCTGAAAAAATATAGTTCTGAACGGAAAGAACGAAGATCAGAAGAAAGTATTCCTTCATCGGAAAATGTTCAACAAGCGGTACCTTTGGGATTTTCAAACATATAAGGTAATGAAGTTGAAAGTAAAGAGGAAAGAGGGAAATATGAGGAAAACTTGAGAGAATTTCACGCTACTCACTAGGGTAAAAAATGCGAAGCTTTGATGAAACAACACGAAGTGACACGAAACACCAGAACAGCACACGATCGCGATAATATAATCACTGAATTGAATTAGGAACACAAAAACACAATACTTGCACACATTTGCACTCCGTTGGGAACGATAAATAATTCCTTTCGCGTATTTTTCAATTGCGATCAGAAAAGTCGACCTTACGTGATGAAATCTAATATAAGACTGTCTTGATTCACCACCTGGTCTCGAATGAATTACTAATAAAATGAATCATGCTGCTAACAGATTGATCTCTGAACAAATGATTTATCTATAACTTATGACGATAATGAAATTATAGGGAAACAGATTATAGCATGCAATATATAAGATGAAGAATTGAACACGTATATACTGGCACTATTATTTTGGAAAGTCTAACGATTTGAAAAAATTGACCACAGGCTAAAAATGAAACTTTCACGAAAATCTCCAGTGATTTGAAAGAGTTTAACAGTCAGAAGTAGTGAAAAAATCTAGCAAATTTCTCGAAGAGTGTAAAATGCACAAGGAGACATATAAGGTGTTTCAGATTTGATTGTACATTTTGGGTTAGACTGCCAGGCTTCTCTACGAAGTTATTAGAAATAAGGTTGTGCTGAGTTACTACGAATACTACGTCTAGCAGAGAATTTTGCGGAGAATTCAGTGGCGTACTCAATTTCTTTAGGGGTTATGATTTTGGAGATACATGAAGTTTATTATCTAGTTGAATCCGTTATTTGTTTCCATTCAAAATGACGAATGAAACTTTGTACATGGTATTTCCAGAAATCCTAAAAAGCACTAAAGCATCAGACCATGATGAATTCTGGCTATAGTGGGCCATGGATTTTCCAAGTTTTACTTTAACGATTATTTTATGTCTGATTTACTATACAAGGTATGTCACGACGAGCTTACACTATTTCTATTATATCAAGAATCAGTCGGGAGAAAATCATGAAAATATGCATGCTCATATTTTAGAATATGCTCTCTTCATTTGAAATATTTTCAGAAATGCATTGTTGCCATTTCTATCATGAAGAACAACTTTGTTATTCCTAATAGAATACCCTGTATTTTATTGAATTCTTAGATACATCACACATTGGAGTCTATCGGAAATGATTACAGAAATATAGGGTGTTGAAAATCGAGATTTTTCAACGTTTGGATTTGTTTGTGTCGAAAACTATTATTGGCCTAAAAGGCTCACATGGCCCTAATCATTTTTATAGACCCCAAGTGTGATATATTGATGAAATCAGCTTTTCAGGGAGAATCTAAAAATGCGATGAAATGCAGAGTATTCCATTTGAAATATCAATGTCGCTATGACTCACTAGTAAATGCGGCAACACTGCATTGTCGAGAATATTTTAAATGAAGAGAGCGTATTCTGAAATATAAGCTTGCACATTTTCATGGATTTCTCCCGACTGATTCTCGATATAAAGATGGTGTAAGCTTGTCGTAACATACCCTGTAGGTATATTATATTGATTATAAAAGATAGAAGACACATCGATAGGGAGTGATTGGATCCACCAAAGTTTCCTTTATCTACAGGTATAGTATGTACATCAAAATCTGAAACACCCTGTATAGGGAAAAGGTATTTCTCCATGGAAAAATTTCAAATCGTCTTATTTTCTTCTGGTTTGCTCGTTTCGAATTATTATCTTGGAAGTATTTAATGAACAGACGTTTCTTATTTTGAAAACATATAAGCTAATTGAGTTAAATATAAACAGGAAAATATGAGGAAAAACAGAGAATCTATTCACTCACCAGCGTGAGAAATGCGAAGCTTTGATGAAACAACACGAAACACTGGATTATGAGGAACACAAAAACACAATACTTGCACTCATTTTCAAGTGAACACTCCGTTTGAAACGATAAATATTTCCTTTCACGTATTTTTCAATTGCGATCACAAAACTTGACCGTTCGTGATGACATCTTATATAAGACTCTTGATTCACCACTTGGTCTCGAATGAATGACTAATAGGTTGAATCATGCTGCTAACCGATTAAATCCCGATTAAATGATTTATCTATGACCATGATGAAAATTCCACCTTTGGTCTACCAGTATACTTTTCCCCTCAGTGCTCATGTATACTGTTTTTCCCTGGATTATTTCACAAGATACCTTCATAAAAATTAACAATTATGAATGAATTTGAAATCCAGGACTTTCATTATTGTAAAAACAAATTAACAATGAGGAAAAGTAGGAATCTACCTGCTATGTAAGAGGTAGGTCATCCATAGGTCATACCTATGTAAGGAATCAATGAAGATTATAAAGTGAAACTTTAAAATTGCATCAATAAAGAATGAAGTGTTGATTGACGTAGTTGTGGAATTGGAAAATGAATTTTGAGAATCTACAAGAAAATTATCACGAAAACACAAAAAAAAAACTAGAACTGTTACTCATGAATAAAATAGAGTTTAATAAAAACATACAAGCAGCAAAATTATTAATTATTATTTCTCTGAATTTGTTGTTTTCCCTTTAAAATTATGTATAGAACTATATACATATAGGATTTGCAGAAATGCTGAAAAAACACACACATTGAATTATGATGAATTATTGCTAGTGAGCCGTGGATTTATACATCCTTCGATATTTGCCAAACCGTCAGATATATAAGAACAATTCAAATACAAAATCTATAAGGTTTCATTTGAACTATCACCTAGAATTATTTTCATATCTATAGGGTGTTCGAATTCCAAGATATCGGCTGATGATGGTTTTTTTAATGGGATACCCTGTATATTATTGCATTTTTTTATTGGTTCTCCAAGAAGAGCTGATTTCATCAATACATCGTACTTGGGGTCTAGCGGGAATGACTAGAGAGATATAAGGTGTTCAAAATCAAGAATTTTCAACTTTAGGATTTTTTTGTGCCGAAACTATTCATTATTGGTCAAGACGGCTTAGATGTCCCTATGTTAACTTTAGATTTATTATCTACTGACATTTAACTATGACAGATACAGGGTGATCAGAATTCTTGAATCTTGAACCACCCTGTATTTGTTCCAATTTAATGTCGGTAGATAGTAAATCGAGAGTTAAGATTGGGACATGTGAACCGCTTTGACCAATGATGATGAATAGTTTCGACACAAAAAAATCCTTTCGTAAATTAATTTCATTATTGTGATTATAAATAACTCAGGATTGGATGCTGACATGATCTTCAATCTACAAAGCACCGTATTCTTCAAGCTTCTCAGATCACCTTCTTCAATATGATTTTTCATCAGGATCTATAAACTATCATTCTCTCATGAAGTTTATGATATATTTTTTGTAATTTTTTTGTGTTACCATTTATTTCATCGGCACTCTATTTTTTCCTTCACCTAAAGAATTTCCATTTTTAGTGCTGCACTGGAGTATATTGTATTGATTGATTGTAATAAAGGTTTGTTGCTGTGAACCATCCCTAGGTAACTCAAAATATTCATAATCCAGAAAGGATCCCAGAAGCATGTATTTCTCTTTGCAAATTATCCAGTTTGTGGAAGTTAGGACGTGTGGACCTTTTCAACCTATTCTGATGACTTTGTAATGTCTTATACCGTTTTCCACTCGTTGCACTGACTCAAACTCTTTTCGCATTGAATCCTGTTTGTCCTTATTTATTTATCATGTATATTTATTCAAGAATAGAATGCCCCATTTCAGTCCAGTGGAAAAGGGTATAGTTGAAACAATGACATATCATAATTCAGTGTTGATGAAATTGTTCTATCATCAATGCCGCAGTTTTCATTTTTTATTCTGGGTAGAAAAACTATATCTATACTATTTACTAGTGCTTAGTTTCGTAGAACGAACAAGCCACGAGGTTCTTCAATATTCGGAAATAATAGTATAAATCTAATATACAAGAACGCTATCCAATCACTCATAGGAAGTCTACATCACATCACAAAAAAACATCTGCTTGATAAATAAATGTGTAATATGACGGATCTGGTGCTACTTTGACCACCTGTCAGTGCTTTACTTTCTTCACGAAATCAATCGTGTCATTTGTTGTATTTCAGGTGAATTTCGAAATTTTAAGTCATCTTTGTGACGAAAACTAATGTTCCGTTAGCGAAGAGCTATCATGTTGCAGTTTTCTTTGGCCTGTTGAAATTTAGTTTTTCTATTTGATCATGTTATAATATTACATTTACATTTTCGATTCACGATATCTATTGATACTTTAGATCACGCCGACAGCCGTTCTTGGTTGATCACCTGGTACATTTAAGAAACTTTGAATTTCTTGACAATAAATTGAATGATAATTGGTGTCTTGGTATATAAACTGATCAACAAAATAAAATATAGACTGATTTCAAAATCGAATTCGGATTTCACAGACGGCTAGCTCAATCTTGCACTTACTCGTCAGAGCAATATGAAACTACAAATATTCGAGATGAACAATCAACAGGATAGTAATTGAAGTAGTTTAAAATTTCAGCGGAGTCGTTACGTTCCCGTTTGAGCAAACATTTTTTATGATTTTTTTTCGACCATTACCATGAAGCTTGATGTCTTCTCTCGAAACAATTTCGAAATTTTTTCGATCACACCCTTTATGTCAGAGATAAACCTTTTTCTTCAAAATGATGCATTTCATCAAAGGAATGATTGAATAGCATTGAATGTTCGTAACCTAACCTAACCTACTGATTTCAGACAAATCTCACCTAACTCAACCATGAACTTTGTAAAACGATGTGGATTGTACAGTAACTCATAGAAGTGAGCCACAATAGACCCATCTGGGCGCAGTGGAAGGGCGGCTTCTACCCCTCACACAGTGAACCTAACCTAACCTATAGATTAAATAAGTTGGCGGAAATAGCTAGGACCAAAATACCTGTTTAAACCTGGCAAACCAGTAGTTAGACCTTAACAAATATAGGCAACTCTACAATCGCATATTCTATAGGTTTTGTACTTACGGTTAGTGTGAGCTTTTTTCATTATACTCATCGGTAAAAATTCATAGTCTGGCCAGAATTTTTTCAGGTAACCCATTTTTTATAGATCTCAACATGCTAATTTACAAAATATTATATACTGCTCTGACGAGTAACTGAAAAATTGAGCTAGCTAACTGTGAATACCGAATAGAAATTAGTAATGGGATCCATGAGTGATTTGATTCTGAAATCGGCATATATTTTGGACCACGACGTTTATTTTGTTGATTAGTTTTGATTACAAAATAAATATATATACAATATCAGACCATCACTGTGAAATAGGGATTAGGTCCATTGAAATTCGTTCTGTAATTACAGTTTTCATTGATCATGTTTTCTGGGATTTTATTATTTATCTGTCCTTCTAATAATCAATAAATTATATCTTCTTTTCAGTGAGCTGTATAATCTGGGAGAAAAATGAATTAAAAAAGGCAGATTTGTCCATGTTGGAAATCAGTTCTGCAATCATCGGAAAAGTAGACCTCATGCCTGAAAGTAGAGACTATTTCTATGTAGGACTCACGATATCAACGATTCTGGCATTCCTACCAGTGATTTGCAAAATATTGAACAACTCACAATTTAGTTTACTGGAAACTCAACATGTCATTGAACATTTTTTCATCAACAGTTTCGAAGCATTACAAAAAAATAACTTATTATTGTTGGTTTCCCATCAGAACAATTCTGAGGAAATATTCATCAGATGGAGAAGTTTGTTCTCAGAGTTAGAAAAGGATTCATGGTGAGCAAATATCTGTTAGTTATATATAGTTATATACCGAATAATGTGGTTATAAATATGGCGTAATTGATGATTCTTTGTGCAAACCAGTTCAAAAATCACTGTCAGTGTGTTATCACGAACATAAATTGAAATAATACTAGTTGAGAAAAGTAGAAGAGAATTAACAATATCTTCCTCCGCCATATATTATATGTCATCATATTCCTGCAAAGTTTTTAAAGATGATGTGAGTCAGAGTACTGGTCACTGAGATTCATTAGGGACTCTTTGGAGGTTTCACTAAGAATAATTATCCCATGTTGAATTGCATTGCACTAAATCTATACAGGCACTTTCTCAGAACCTGTCAGATGCCTCTATTTTATTCTTATCGCCAAGCCGATGAATTCACTTTACTAACGCATATTTTCGAATTAGTGAACTTTGTGGTGGTAGTTGATATTTTATCTTAGGTAGATTAGAGCCACAACGACCTTCTACTTCGATTTCATTGAATTGTAGCAGCAACCCAATCTAGATCAACAATACGATGTGAATTGGCATTTAATCACTTTTATCAGACTCTATATCACCCTTTGCAAAAAAAATCATTTATTTTTCTTCGTTTTCTTTGGTTAAGTCCTATAGTTATCATTTTTCATTGAAAGAAGAAATGTATTCAAAGAAAGTAGCTCTCTTCTCATTTGTCAAAATATTTGGTTTGTTTCTAGGAAAGAATAATTCAATGACGCCATCATTTAATTCAGTTTTCAAGTACAAAAAAATATGCAAAGAAGACTTGAGAATATTCCTCACTCCAAGCCATTTTAGAACCTCTTTTTATTTCGTCAATTGATTTTTCTTTTATTATGATAGAACTAACTAAAAAGGCAAACATTGCAGATTTGTACAGGGTGACAAAAGTATAAAAATAGTTATTTATTATACAAGGGAAAAAGTAGTAATATTTTTCCCGTGTATAATACACTATTTTTTTCTGTGGATTGGAATAAAGAGAAGTTTGTCAATTTACTTCTGACTCATCCATACTATGTTTTCCATTTTCTCAACAATTAAAAATGTTCAGAGGAGGTTGAGAAATTGTTTGATATCTCGTGAAAGATCCGCGTTATGCAATTAGGGCATGCGGCAAAGTTAGTCTACTCAATGTTACCTCAAGACTCATCTCTTGTGTTTTACAAATATCCCAGAAACCTCCACATTTAGGCACGTGGAATAATATAACTTTCAGATTATGCATTGATAAGCCTAACTGATTTACACCAATTTGACAATTCATCTAAGAAAAAATTTTAAGGAAAATGTGGCGACATAATTACTGCAACTACGCGACTGCTTAGTGCCATTCAAAAATGGAAACTCAACGTGATTACATTGATCAACCTGGGATAGTATATACCGAGTGTCAATTATTATCCGGCAGGGGTACCGAAAAAATAATGTAAACCTTGAATCTTTCTGAACTTTTGACACCCTGTCTCTCAGAGAGGATGTATTTTAGGAAATACGTTGACAGGACCTATTCTCTATAAAAGGAATTAAGGAATTCGTATACGAAGTTTGTCGGTCTTATTCAGACTCACCTATTTTGGTTGTTATAAAATCGGTAGGTGTTCTACTTGAGGTAGAGTGCCTATAAGATCTGATGTTTAATGTTGAGAGTGAGGACACACTTGTCACCACTGACATTCCCGAATTGTCATAATTTCTGAGTTTGAAACGTCAATTCTAAATATTGAATAGGCGTACCCGTGAAAATGATTTTTGAATGAAAAAAATGAAGAATTGTGATTTATTGATCATGTACAATATCTAGATGTTTTGTAATGGATCGCTAAAGTTCCATAAATGATGGTTTCATCGTCTATTCTGCATTTCCATAAAATTAGACGAGATATTGCAAATGGAACGAGAATATACAGGGTGTCTCAGGTTTAATTCGTCTAACTTTGATTATCGATAGCAGAAATCAAAATATTAGATACGTATTTTTCTGTTTTGTCATGAAGAAACTTGTTTTCATTATAAGGAGTAATACAATTTTTTGGTTTTTCTTCGTTATCTCAGTTTAAACAAAACCTAACAATTTCAAATTCTGTGAGTGTTATTTTTTTTCGAGCCCTCTGACATGGAATTCATTAGATTTTTTCATTGGGACACTAGTAGTGGATTGAACCTTATGAAAAATGATTATTATTTCTTCACCACACTTTGTGTTTTTCGTTTGTTTCAATATCTCTCGTGTCCGTGAACCATTTAATATTCGATACGAATGATAATTTGAAGTAAGATAAACGTTCAGGTTAAAAAACTATTATGTATAGTATAACATTAATTCAAATAATAAGGAAACTAAGGAGGATATAAAAACAAATGAAGTGCAAATAGCAAGGTGAATAAATGAGAATCATTTTTCATCAGCTTTAATTCACCATTATCGTTCCAATGAAAACAGTTTGAATGGTTGGAAAAAGTGCTTACCGAATTTCAAATTGTTAGGTTTTGTTTCAACAGAGATCAGAAATAAAAACCAAAAATGTTTGCGAACTTCAACACAATGAAAACAAGTGTCTCCACGACGAAGAAAAAAATACGTGTATAATATTATAATTTTGCTATCGATTGTCAGAGTTAGACGAGCTAAACCTGAGACACCCTGTATAGAGATGCATTTTGATAGAACTAAACATTCACTAGTTGAACTACTTGACTACGTTGCATGTGCATACCTCAATGAAAATGATTTTATTATCTGTCAATTAGAAAAAATCGCTTATTCATTCTGACAGAATATTCTGAATGCCTAAATGAAACAACAGCTATTGAAGTATTGCAATCTGCAAAATTAAGAACTTTGATAGTTTTAAGTCAGTGGTTATGTTCATGGGTTTTCCTTATTTTCGCATCTATTGAAAATGGTCGAATGCTATTATGAATGTATAAACCGAGAATCAGGAAAATTATTCCTCTTTATTTTGGTACCTTTGCATGAACATAGTATGAGGATATCTTCTCAGTTATTGATGAATGGCATGCGAGCATTGTTTTTTTCTCAAATTGGTACATCAAATCAAAATTATATGTCTTCAGTGATATACTACTGTTTGGTTTCCTCATAAAAAGGATTAGTTTCTCATATCATTTCTTCAAAGAGCATTACACCTCAGATCAGGCATACTAACTTGAGGAATATGCTATTGTAGACATAACGAATTGGTCGAGAATCTGGATGCTTTAGTTCAGACAATATTTGCTAGTGTATTGACGTGCATCAGTGATCAAATATACTTTATTTCATAATTCATTCAGCTATGTTTCTGAATAAAAGATCCTACTACTTATATTCATTATTCTTCTAGGGAATATGTTGTGATGACAATATCTTTAGCACAACGATGGATCTTGGCTTCAATGATATTCTTTCTATTAGCTGTGGCAGAGAGGACTTTCAAACAAAGGCTTTTGTATGCCAAATTATTCTCTCATCTTACCTCATCGAGAAGAGCGAAAAAATCGGAAATACCACACTTTCGCTTGAATAAAGTCATAAACATCAAAACATGGTTATCGGTGCGGTCTTATATGAAGAAGAGAGGCCCTCAGAGATCAGTGGATGTAATTGTTTCCACAGCATTCATTGCGAATTTATTGCTCTTAACTTTTTTTTGTGTTGAAGTTTTGAAGGTGAGTGTGTCTGTGACTTTTATTTTCGTAGTTATTGAATCACATACCAGCTGACGAAAGTTGTATGGCAGAGGTTTTGCTACTTAAAACAAATCACATCAAATGTTTTGTAGTCTGTCAAATATAGGGTGCCTCGAAATTAAGAGTGAGGATGTGATTCTACAACAAAAAATACAAAAAAACTGATTAGACAAACATTGACTCTGGCGATGGCTTTTTATCTATTTCATTGAAATGGTATGAGATCAAGTAATGCCATGTTGCCTATTTAGTTTCATTTTCGAAACACTTCTTAATAGTGCAATCAGCTATTGTCGTTCTAAATGGAAACATAGTAGGCAAGGTAAAATATAATCTGTTCATTCTGAAAAAAAGCGAAACGAAAATCGGCCTTATCGACGATATTTTCATTAAGCCAGTGACTTCTATTTCAACATTACTTTTTGCACTTGAAATGATGACATGCAAGCTGGAAATAGAATTGTAAGAACTGCTTATTCGACTATGTTGTTGATATATCTGCCATTTCTCTAAAAATCACACCTACATAAGTGGTTTGTCAACTGAGAAACAAAAAATGTGATGATGAATTGAAGTTTCGCACATAAGTGATCCAGTGGAAAGAATCATAATAAGAAAATATTGATTCGATATGGCATTGAGGAAAAATTGAAACTAATAATAAGACCACTGGGCCGAACAATATCCCAACGATAGTCTTCAAATCCTGCGCCTTAGAACAAACATCAATATTCTGCAAATTATTCGCATCATCTCTCAACCAATTCCTGAAAAGGGAAAGAAAACTGCCCGCCAACTGTTGTCCAATTGCTTTGTTGTCCGTCATTTCAAAAGTTACGGAAACCGCCATCAATGCAGATATCATAAGGTATCTAGAAAACAATATCATCATTTCTAATAGGCAATATGGATTTTCACAACGCAGATGAACTGGCGACCTTTTAGCATATTATATGACACAAATCTGGAATTCAACCCTAGAGAAACACGGATAATCTAGGACCATTGCTCTATATATATATCTGAAGTATTCGATAGAGTATGGCACCAAGCACTCCTGTTACAAGTTACCTATGATTCTATGGTCTGCCTCATCTCCCCTACTTTTCCGTTGGATTACCAGTTTCCTGCAGGATCGAAGGCTTCATGTAGTTGTTACGAGATTGCCTCAAACACACTGCCTTCCAATGCAGGAGTACCACAGAGCTCTATTGTATACCCAATACTCTTCTCACTACATATTAACGATCTGTTGCACATGACTACCAACCCTCTGTTCAGTTTTGCTGACGATACCACCCTAATAGCGTCATACTCCTCTGATATACCAATATCCGCAGCAACCAACTAAGGCCTAGATTGTAACAGATCCATTCAGTGAACGATGAATTGGAGAAGATCCAACAATGAGACAATATGAATTTCATACAATTCAACGCCTTGAAGACCCAAGCAACAGTTTTTTCAAAAACCGCCAAAAGTGCGGGCCCTGATACAGCTATGGCTGGGAGAACTTTATTAGCAATCAATTCATCAATATCAATGCTCGGCATCACGGTATCTGGCAGTTTATTTTGGCATGATCATTCTGACAATATAGCCAAAGCTGGCTCTCAGAAGCTGTGATTTCTCTTTTGCGCCATGAAGTTTTTCACCTCACAACAGCCCAGATTCGACCATCTCTTGAGTACTGTTCGCATGTCTGAGGACGAGCTCCAAAACACTCCCTGAGGTTGCTGGAGTCCGTTCAAAGGAGAGCCATCAGGCTCATCAATGATCCAACTCTCACAAGAATACTGCAAACCTTACAACATCGAAGAAATGTTGCAGACTTAACACTTCTATCGCTACTATCATGGACGATGCTCTGTTGATTTGTCATCAGCTGTTCCCCTGGATTGACCTTTGTTCACCAAACACGGCTGGCTCAAGTTTTATACCCATTTGCAGTCAAAACACCCAGAACATCATGTTTCAAGAACTCCTTTTGTAGGACATCTTCACTTTGGAATTCTTTGCCCACGGATGTATTTCCAGCAAACTACAATCTGTCCACCTTCAAGAGAAGGATTCACCGATATTTGTCCCTCCCCTGTGCTCGCAGTTCCGCCACGGGATTATAGGTCCAATCTTTTGCGGTCATCGATATTCTACTTTTTACATTAAATATTTTTTATGTCGGCATAGTCGCCAAAAAGTCAATTAGAGTAGCTCCAGCTAAAAACATACGCGAGTCGTCGGTGCGTTTGAAATTGCAAGAGTCAGAAAAACTTCTCTATCTGGTTCGGCACTTATAAAAAAATATAAAATAGAAGCTTCAACCTTCAATTGTCTATATCAACAAATATTCATTTGAGACAAATGAGCTATCAACATTTTTCAGTAAACCAGCGCCATTGACAGGCAGGCATATTTTGGGTCAGTGAACAGACAATATTATTTCCTCGAATATTTGGTTTTTCGTTAGAATGACAGAACCAGTCAGTTACTGTTTCATATCCAGTTTTGTTTTTCATAGAAAACTCAACAAAACATACCGAAAATGGGGCGATTAATGAAATGGATGATTGTAGACGAGAAAACAAAACAAAATGGAAGGATACATTTTTTCCAAAAAAATATTTTGGAAGATATTGAGCTTCAAAGTTTGCCTGAAATTTTTGTTAATCATTCATCAGAAGTGAATAGCCCCACTCAAGCGTTTGTTTTCTGCGAGATCACAATCATCGGAAGTATCAATCACTCTTGCAATGTTGCAGGACGTTCAATAATAGTTGAAAGATGTAGTATGGTGGGAGTGTGCATTTGTTTGAAAATTTTTAAAATATTTTTTCCATAATTGTGTAATACCACAATAACAATTTCGCGAATTACATTGTTTAGCAAATCTTTCAAGCCGCAGGCGAGAAGTTTTGAATCAATTTCATGAGCAAAATTAAAACAGCAAGCTGGAGTATGTCAATGGACGAATATTTCCAGGAAATATAGCATCACCAGTTGTATTCCTTCCAGAGTTGCGCACACAGGTTATGGCTTCCAACATAATTGCACAGCTAGAACACCTCATTTTATTCATCGCCCCAATTTCGGAATCACTGTATTCCTTATGAACGCTTCGTTTTTTATAAATAATTTTTTTTATATTCCAGGATACTATTATATTTTCACTTTATTATTTAGAAGCTTTGATTTGGTGTATTGGGTTAGGAATATTTCTGCTTCGATTCATGACACTAGGTACAAAAATTAATAAAAAATACCGAAATCTTTCGGTATTGATAACTGAACAAATCAATCTCCATTTACAAATTGAACACAAACCTCATAAGAAGGAAGAAATGAATATTGCAAATAATGTATTGAAACTTGCCATTGATTTGTTGAAGGTAAAAATGTTTAGTCATTTTTGCGTATTCATTTTTTGTTTGATTTCTGATTTATTTTCAGGAGCTGGAAAACCCCTTTAAAATATCAGGACTCTCAGCGAATCCGATACTTTATAACTGTACAAAGTTAGTCATCCTTTCTGCATTATCAGGCGTTCTATCTGAAATGTTGGGATTCAAGTTGAAGTTGCACAAAATCAAACTTAAATAAAGTGATACAATACAATGTGATGAAATATATCAGCTAGATTGCATTCGATTATAGATCTGTTAAAGATACACTATAACTGTTGTAATTTTTATTGAATGTTTTCTTTAAAACCAAGAAAATATAAAAAGTACTTCCATTCAGATGTCTTCCTCTCTCTATAAGTACGCATATTTGCCGTCATAAAAAAGCACCCTGCAAAATACCAAGCGATGCTTATTTCGACAGTGAATAAAATCAATTGAAAACAATTTTGGCTCATTTTCTAAGATGAGACTGAACTACATGAATACAATTCGTTCCTCATGGAACAGATGAGGAAATATACAGGCTGTTCATAATATGCTAATTTTCAAAGGTGTGATTCTGCTTGAATAATCAATGAAAGTTTGCTTTATTATCTATATGGTCCAAAACTGTTCTCATTTTTGCTTCCTTATGAATCTATATCATTTTATGAATTGAACTGATTGAATTATTGCTCCTTCATGAATCTATAATTTTATGAATTGAACCGACTGAACTAAACTTGCAGCTTGACAAACATAACCCACATTTTCAATGTCAGTCTCAAATGTCGTCGAACTAATTCAAAATTCCGTTGGAATACTACATGGGATAGTTATTAACTCAAGAATAGATTGATAAAACCTTCAAAAACCCTAACCTTCAACAAACCTTACTCTACTCTGAGAGTCAATAATCAAGGAAATATATTTTGAAAAATCCTTGGACAAAATATTTTTTTCAATGCACATTTTCAACCACCTGTCAAACTCCTGCTCTACAGATCAACTCCTTCAAATTTTTCAAATTGTACATGGAGTCGAGTTACTCCAAAGATTACTGAATTCTAGAAGATGTCGCACCTTCTGGGATTCGTTGGTCGGTTTGGCCTAACATTGATTTTTTTGCTGTCCCATAAATCATTGCATTGCCAAGTGGTTGTGGTCGGTTATTGACAGGTGATAACATGGCGATTTCAAAGACGCCGGCAGGTGGTTACCGACAGAATCCACCAGCGGGTGGCGAGACTTCTCAGATGTCGATAAATGAACGAGTGAGTGACTCTTCTCAAAGTTTACTTTTCAGTAGTCTCTGGTTACACCTTGTTAGAGAGGTATCTCAAATAACTTCACCAACGGATAATTTTTCAAAATTGGGATGAGCCATAATAGTAAGAAAGCAGTCGAAAGTTATAACATTTATTGGATTTTTTTTTCAAATTATTGGTCATTGTAGATATTTATTCATTGTATTAATTGTGAAGTGAATTTATCTACATTTCATATCAGTTTTTATACTATCCCTATGTAATATGTGGTGCATCCCATTTTGGTTCAAACTGCTAGGTTTCTCGGTTGCGGTTTTCACGTTTCAGTCCTACTTTTTTATAAAACTTATGATGGCCGAATCAAATTTTGCATAACTGTTTCCTTTTAAGAGATGCAGAGAAGTTATGGGGAATAATGCTGCGCTGCACACTATGTCTAACAGAATTTTGCGCAGAATCCAGTGACTGACAGTACTGAAAAAATCGTTTCGAGTTTGGTTCTGGAGATACGACACAAATAAACATATATTTTTCAATGAAACACCCTGTATTCCATCATCTTGCAAAATTCGTTATTTTTTCCCTTCAAAGTGATATTTAAAACTTCATACACCTCCAGAGATGCAAAAAACTATGAAACATCAAATTATCATGAGATTCTGCTAGTGGGCTGTAGATTTTTCATATATAAATGAAGTATTATTTGAAGAATTCTCATTTGTGATGTTTTCATAAAGAGATAAGGCAGAAAAAAAAAGACCAACACTAATTCACTTACGTAATTCATAAAACGTAGGTACCTAAAAACAACAAATGAATGAATATTACCTAATATATTATACATGTGAGGAACTGTGTTGTAGGAACAGTGTTCGGGTGTACGTAAATGAAATAGAGGCACTTCAACAATGAACAGCGAGAACAACCACTTCATTCTATTAAGGATAAACGTAGACTGACTAATACAATTCTCTCTTATATCATCTCAACCTTAATCATCTACCAGAAATATATGAATCACAGAACGATAAAGATGATCACATACCTAACAATAATAATAATAGTAATAATACGGTCTCAGACGTTCAGACGTCCCAGACCGTGCACACACACTTACACATTAAATAAGAGCAGGTTTGTCTTCATCATTTCTTGTCGAATCTTAAAAAATGCGCGATGGCATGATGGCGGTCATTTAAAAGATGTAATTTTTTTAAAGTTATTCGTATGTCACAGAAAATTTCAAGGAGTGTCTGTGATTAGGGGTAGAATACTGTTTTTTGGAGAATGAGTAGTCTACTATGATGGGGAACCCTGTATAATCTAGATAACTATATAGTTCTGAAATTGACTGTGATCTGAGTTAGAAATGCATTTTAGTTCAGTATGAAACTACTTTATTTATTTGTCTAGGGGTTTCAAGTAGGTAATGATCAAATGAGACACAGTGGGGTTGACGTTATTTTATTTCCAAATCTTAATCTGTACAATAGTGATATTGTCTTAACGAATAATGCCGTCGAGATCCTTCTTACACCTATACTAAATGCAAGCGTATTTATTTGTCTAGGGGTTTCAAGTAGGTAATGATCAAATGAGACACAGTGGGGTTGACGTTATTTTATTTCCAAATCTTAATCTGTACAATAGTGATATTGTCTTAACGAATAATGCCGTCGAGATCCTTCTTTACACCTATACTAAATGCAAGCGTACAAAAATAGCCACGATCCTATGATATGATATATGAAACAGTCGATTGATGATTTTAGGATATGTGTATACTGATATGTAGATGACAGTTGAAAGTATTCACAAGATGAAGTATGATGAAGAGTGGGGTTAGATGTACTAAGTTGATGATGTTACAGAAATTATGAGCTGAACTGGAATAACTTTGTAGGTCGACGTGATCTGAAATAAAAACATGATTTTAGGAAATGTTATTGCCACATATCGAAATCTCGAACTTTCTGATTCTCGACTCAGAATCCTTATGAATTGGGGTACCCTATAATGCAAAGATATTGATGACCAAATTCCATTGATAAGTATTTTGAGTAAATCGGTTATTTTGCCAGTGATAGTTTCAATTCAGAGACACATTTTATTTCGATTATTTTCTTCGTATGATTTCAAACCAATCAGAACGTCCATTTAGTTTAAGCTACCTTGTATAATTTCGAATATACGTGAATATACATAGAGTATAGTTCCACTAATCAGGAATTTAGAATTATTTCCATTTCCATAGTAACCAATCCATATTGTTATATACGAACAAAGCGAGTCGTCAAATTTTGACGTTCATCCTTCAGAACTACCCAAATATTATCATCGAATACAATTCGAATTTCAAAATGTTATACATCCCAAACTTCCTGTACAATTTCGAATTGTCAGTTCAACAGAATAATCCTTCATATTCTTATGATATTTTAACTGTTGAAGTGACACTCTTTGAAATTATGCAACAATAAGTTATATCGATGCTGTATAAACCGAATATTTTGAAGTACCTGATTATCATAGCATAACTACTGATTATTTTCTTCATATGATTTCAAACCAGTCAGAACGTTCAATTGAGTTGAAGCTACCTTGTATAATTTCGAATATACATGTATATACTGAGAGTTTACTGAGAGTCATTCCACCAATCAGAAATTCAGAATTATTGCCATAGTTACCTATTCATATTGTTACATATACAAACAAATCGCGTCATGAAATGTTGACGTTCCTTCAGAACTACTCAAAAATAATCGCATCGACTACAATCCGAACTTCTAACTATCTCAAACTTCCTATATGATTACGAATCGTCAGTTTATCAGAATAATCCTACACCGAAATGTTGAACTGATACTCTTTGTAATTATACCAGTTATATCGATGTATAACCCGAATATTTTGAGTACCTACCCAGACAGCACAGAATAATATTGTATATAATATTATGTTCTCAGAATTATCATTAAATATTCGCAGTCTGAAAATAATATTCTATGAACATTTAATTTGACATATATACTCAGAATATTATTTTTGATCATTCTGAGAATATTCAGAATCGAATCAAAATATATGATTTTGAGGTTCCTATGCTTGTATCAATATTTATGATGTCCACCCTGACACAACTCATTATCCTCGCTAGCATCAATATGCTGATTTTATAATTATTATCACACAATGTTCTGAATATTCCAGATAATTCTGTTGCTTGCTGTACAGTAAACCAATAATAGTATTACTATATTGCGAATATATCACGAGTAGCATAACTTTGAGAAGAATATATCCATGTTGGACATGACCGCACTCCACAAAGTGTTGTGAAAGTTCGAGTATGTAAAGGTACCGTTGCAAAACCGGCAATTGGCCGGTTTACGTAAATTGTGTAGGGTAGGTATCATATGAAAGGTGAGGAGTATCAACATTCCCTGCAGGGCCGATCCTAGCGGGTGTGCAGCGCGTGCCCCGCACGCGGGCGGCCAAAACAAGGGGCGGCCGCAGGCCGCATATTGTCCTATCAAACAAAATTATTTGAAACTCATAAGTCGAATGAATATGCTGCATTTTGAATAAATAAAATGATAGTAAATAGTGTGTTGGTCCATTGTCAATTAATGTCTACTTTTTATACACATGCATTCTTATCTTCCCAAATTTTAAATTTCTATTTGAAACAATAACCAAGGGGCATATTTTTCATACGCCTCAGGATGTTTTGTTCCATCACTGTGCGGTAGCTTATTTATGCATTTCTACTACTTACTAAGAGACTATGAGAGAAAATCCCAAAAAATCTGGAGAACATCCACTTGGTTAAACTATACAGACACCATTTAAAATACTTTTCACTTGCTCTTCTTATTGTTCTTATTTTCAGATTCCAGATCATTTTATATCAATTACAATAAACTGTAATATACTAATGTGATGAATTTGAATCCCAACAAAAATTTCGCCTGCGGCGCATTTTTTGCCGTAGGAAAATTTTGTCTGAGTTTCTTGGCCGCTCCCGGTATGCACTGAAATGGAGTTATTACCTGAAAGCATTTGACCTTGAACTCAGAAAAAATTCGCCTGCGGCGCATGAAGATTTTGTCTACATTTTTTTTTCTGTTTTACTTCTTATCCTTGTACAAGTAGTTGAAGTTATGAAGTCATCAGGTATTATAGTTAAAAAATATGAAAAATATTCTCTAGAGGGGCGGCACATTAGGTTTATGCACGCGGGCGGCCGACACCCTAGGATCGGCCCTGATTCCCTGCTACAGTACTTGAATTATATACAGGCTGTTCTATCTGAACCGCACATCAGACGTATTTGGTGTTCTATATAAATGACACTGATCTGAAATGTATACATACAGCATAGCATACAGCGTTTATAGGTATCGATTGAGTCTTGCTCAAAGAAAATATCTACAAGATGACAGCACTTCCTGTAATGCTTTCCAGAAGTGGAGATCAACTTCGTTATTCAAATAGGAAGCTCTTATTCTACCTTTTAAATGATTTTCCAATTTTCCAGATTCCTTATTATTATTATTTTAAGATGCTCTTCATCAGCTCCCATTACCTATAGCTGTTTTCGAGATATGCAGACTTTTAATAGTTATTTATTATACAAGGGAAAAAAGTAGTAGATTCTATCTCCAGGTTGTGTTGTCTCCCGACGCGTAGCGGAAGGAGACAAAAAACCGTGACCTAAAATCTTATATTTTGATCGTGTATAATACACTATTTTTTTTGTGACAGAAGAAATGACGAATCAATATTGAGAAGATATCACATTATTTTGAAATCTGAAAATTATCGACGTGAAATGTTAAGTTTTTAACAGTATAGGGACACCTGCGTTGTAGGCATCTATATCATTCTTTTGAAGTACCTAATCAAATATCTGATGTCACTTCTGTCAGTCTAATTCTGTGATTTGATTTCAAAAAATTGGAAGATAAAAGGACTTGTAGTTCTTTCTCGGAGACGGTATTATTGACTCATTTTTCGGATAACACAACAAAAGCCATCAACAGTGTATATATATGTGATATATATCCGGGAAAAACAGAACTCACTTTTTTTCCCAAAGGAAAAAAGTAATTTATTAAAAGTGACATTTTATATAACCTGCCAACAGAGATGAAATACCAAACTTTTTTCCCGTCACAGAAAAATTTTTTTTTTCGTATTCACCTTCCTCCAATAAACTTCTCGTTTTCATATTATTATCTACTATTACAAAATATGGAAAACCAATCTAATTGAAATCCATATACCTGAGGATTTATTTTGTGTTCATGGAGAATGTAGTAGAATTTGTACAGTTCGGACAAGCAGAAATCAATGGAAGGAATAGGGTTTGCGAGTGAGGACATTTCTCGTTGGATAAACGGCATCAAGTTCTATTATCAACTATTTCACTACATTCTACATATATATACATAATAAATTCATCAGGTCTTGATTTGAATAACTCGATTATTCTCCATATTTTTTAATTATTCATAAAATAATCAAGAAGAAGTTTATTGAACAAAATCATAATAGTTCAAATCTCCATGGCACAGAATGCAAAACCAGTACTTCCTATACTATCAATTTTCCTCAATATCGACATCATCATATAACTTAAGAACTATAAAAGATATATGGTATTGTAAGGATCGATTGGGAATTAAATTCTCTTCCATTTAGTGAAAAAATAATTGGCATTCCATTTGAAAAACGTGTTATGGCTACTTGAACTTTCCCAAACTCAACATATTTCCAGTCGTTTTTCCCGAATCACGGAAAAATAAAACGAGAGGATAAATTCTTTCCTTCACTGACGCTTAAACATTATTTCGATATATTAAAAAAAAAGTCTGATGCATATAGGTAAGCTGATGAAAATTATCTCAAAATAACATAAACTTTCCATTTGAAATAATGAAGTTATTGGTCACTTCCGGTATAACCAGATTTGAAGTGCCGCCATCTTGAGAATATTTTCTTTGAATAGGACCCAAAACGATAACCCCTGCATACACATTTTCAGATCAGTGTCTTGTCTAGAACCCCTTGACCGTGCTGTTTAGACCGAACAGCCTAGCCTAGCTATACAAACCTGCTTCCATCAGACTAATTCTCCTAGAAGTATCATTACGGGTCCTTTTTATATTCAATTCGTCTCGAACAATCTGACTCGTACGAGTGATACCAGATATATTGTCATCATGAGCTGTAAAACAAATTGACAATCAGATAATACAGTTCTTGACCTATATTTTGGTTTATTCTATTTTAAATTTCGGAATATGATTAGGTGTTCAATCTCAATTCACTCGACGAAGATATTTCTTGTAGTAAGAATTTGGTGGTTCAAATTACCTTGTTGCTTCTTATTGCTTGTTAAATACTTGTTGGGGTCTGGAATTCCTGAAAAAAAAAACAAGTAGACGTCATTTGCTATTGTAAGTAAAGGGTATATGATAATTATAGGCCGATTTTTTCCTTGACCAAGTAATATATTTCCACCCAGAGGAGTTGCCCATATAGGCCACTCTAGGGATGGTTTAGGTTGAATGATGTTCAATAGAATCTTAAGAAGTGTTCACTCGCCCTGAACTGATAGAGGTGTAGAATGGGTTTTCAGGTAAATTGATTTCATTCTATCATCTACTCTTTAATAGCAACATCTAATGTATTATAATTTATTGATTGCCTATACCCTATAAGTATACAAAGTTGAACCGACACTATCGCTAACATGATTTTTATTGGAGTTACAATAAAGTCAATTGAATGGACAAACTAATAGTATTTTTCAAGCTGATCACGATGAGAAAACGAAACAAAATTGTGACATCGCGTTCACGTTTTATGACAACAAGTTCACTTTTTTTTAATGGGACACCCAGTATACAATCTTCATATTCGATAGGAAATTTGATTCCTAAACAAAAACTGTCAATTGCTCATCGTATATAAATTCAAAAATGACTAAGCTATAGACGACTTCATGGTAGGATAAAAGCTACCGTAAGTATAATACCTCGACCATTGTCGACTTACACATCCACTTTGACACGTTCGAAAAATCGTCGATAGCTTAGTCATTTTTGATAGAGAATATTGTATAATGGGTGTCCCATTAAAAAAAACGAATATTACCTTTCGACATAACTCGTGAACGCGATGTTCGATTTATCTTTCGATTTCATCATCGTAATCAGCAGACAAAATACAACCTACTATAGTTTGTCCATTTGACCAACTCTGTAGCTCCAATAATAACCAAGTTAGCGAAAGTGCCACTCAAGTTTGAAAACCCTGTATATAATACGAATACAATGTTCGAGATTCAGTCAACCGGGTAATGAATAACTGCTTTCCGAAAATTTCATTTTCTTCTTCATGGCTAAAAAATAATATGTATTGTGAAAAAGGTATATGGTTGCGAATGAAATGCAACGCTCACCCAATGATTTTTTCCTATGGGGTCATTTAAAATCTGTTATTTTTAAAACGAAACCTACTGACCTCGACGATTTGGAGAGAAAAATAAGAACTGAATGCCTGGCCATATCTAGAGAAACATTCTCAAATGTACAAGAGGAATTTTCAAATAGACTCTACCACTGTCTGGGAGCCAATGGAGGTCATTTTGAACACTTGTTGTGAATACCTGTTCAATAATATCTATTTTGTACATACATTTACTCACAATTAAAAAACATACCATTCGAACTCGAATATCTCGAGAACGAGTTGTTGAAATTCAAAAAACTTTGCACTGCTAGTTTCCGAATTAAATTACCTTTCCAATGATGTACAGAACGACCCTAATTCCCTATTCAAATTATTGAGGGGGTTGCTCTGGAGAGTAGAGGGTTGAAGTATGGATCATTTATTTTGCCTCAAAATGTGTCCCCCTCCAAATAAAAATCGACCTGTTTCGTTATTTTTTTGTTGAATAATTATTCTGGGAGATTTCGAGGGTGGATAGTCTTGAATGGACCACCCGGTATATATCAGCCCGTGCTTCTAGATGTTGTGATGTCGGCTCAGGTCCGTAGCCAGAGAGTTATGATAATGTATCGGGTAGGCAAGAAAAAAATGTTGGGCAGGCTAAAACTTTACTCAACTCAAAATTCATTCTTTGATGAACAAATATCACAAATACATATATTATGATTACATGATTCAACAAGAAAGAAACAGGAATCCTAGAACAGCAAACTCTTAAATGAAAACAACAAACTCTAAAATGAAAACATATTCTGAAATAAAAATGAAGTCTAGACGAAATAAAGTCAAAATAGTTGCGTTGTCGATTGTTTCATTCACAGAATTTTCGCAGAAAAATGATCATGTATAGTGCTTTGGTGCGATGTTTCCCAAACACAAGAAGAATTAAATTGGCCTTTCTTTGTTGGCACATACATACATAGGCGTTGTGGACCATTTAATTCTTGTCAAAATAAGACAACTCGATTCACACCTCCTATCTAATGTAGCATTTCCTTCGTCTTGGTTCTGAATAAACGTATTCACCACAAATACTTTCTCCCGCGACTTCCTCTGATGATGGAAGTTCTATGCCCAAAGTTTCGCAATTGGTAGTCCACTCTGTTGTTTGTGAATCTTCGATTCATTTCATTGAGAATCATATCTAGAGTTTCATGAAATATTATTTTGAAACGAGAATTATATCTAGAGTTTCATAAAATATTCTTTTGAAGTTTTGATCATTTTGATCCACTTCCTCCCATCTCCCTCCAATTTTATCTAAGATCAGGAAGTCTGTGAGTTTCGTATTCATCTTCTTTTGTCTTTTGTTATTGTTAGGAATTTCTTCTTCGACTACGTCAGAGTCTGAATTGAGCTTATCTTCAATTTCTTTAGAAATATCGTCATTCCTAGATGAGCTGAGGAAATTCACCACGGACTTCAAAATAACAACAGAATCTTTCAAGCTCGCCTGATTTGATTGGAGTAATATATCGGCAGGCTGAATGGTTTGCAGAATTTTTTTCATGGAAACCATACAGAATTGAAACTCTTTGGATTCAAGCAAACCAATGTTTTGTACAACGTAGTTACCATCTAATCAATTTGTTTGTTGAACTTCTAACGCTTCAATCATTTTCTGAAAGTTGGTAGAAATTATGCGTGGAACATCCAGATGACCACTCCACTTTCTTAGATTTTTCTCGTATCTACCGATTATTTTAGGGCAGGCAAATATTTCTCCAGGGCAGGTTACTTCCAGCGATGTGGTATTCATAGAATTTGTTAGTTATCTTCAGTAAGAAGTATGAAGTATATTCTTGAAATGTTACCACATCCCCCGTGGATATCTGCAACTCGTGAGTATCTGCAGCACCTGAAGCTCATTCATTTGATGAGCCAGAATGCTGCAGTATCTATACACTGGGCACGCGTAAGTCATCACATGTCTGATAATTTGCTTATATACCAGGACCTTATTGTTGTCTACTGTAAGTGAAGAGGTCCGAGCGGGTGAATTTTTTTGATGGCAGCTTCTCTTTTTTGCATTAGATAGTTTGTTTTAGACCTGAGAGTCATATACTGGTGTCCATTTTGACCTCCAGGTAGAGTCCGACCACGTTAACTTTGGGACAGCATGTGACGCAACGCATATGCATATTCAATGCATACGCGACCACGTGCTGTCCCAAAGTTATCGTGGTCGGACTCTATTTCACAACGGTCCCGTCTCCCACCTTCACCCCATTGACTGTCAAAGTTCTGCGTATAGTGTGAAGTTGTTACGTTTTCTGTGAAAGTTTATCATTTCTGTCCTCCAGTTATTTATACGCAGATCTTCGACTCGTCAAAGTACGGTATGACTCCCTTGTCCAGATGAATCTGGATTTGAGTCCTGGTAATATCCCAGTGGAACGAGTGCGCGGATATTGCCGTTTCATCGGCGTACAGTGTGTCCAGTTTTCGATGCTTTTGCGTGATATCTCAGTTATCTTTGGAGATGAAACCTTGCGGTTCTCAGGGTCCTATGCCACTTTTTTGTGAAGCTCAAGATGGTCTAATCCGATTTCGCATACATGTTTCCGTTTTTGAGATACAGGGCGATTTTGAAAATTTATTCTTTTTGAACGCCCTGTATATCTACGAGGTTTCTCAGCGAATAAGTCAAATTTGAATCTTCTCACATATAGATTTTCACGCTCAATCCAGTGGCGCACTCAAATTCCTTTTCGGGGTATGGTTTTGGAGATACGACTCAAACTTATGATTTTTTAAATGGAACACCCTGTATTTTATAACCTCATTGATTTCCTTACTATTTTGCCTTCAAATGATATATAATCCTCAAATATAAAATTTTCAAAAATTAACCATAATCACTAAAAATTTGTATCTTGATAGTGGGCTATGGATTTTTCATATACAAAAAGTTCCTACTAAAAGAATATTTCTTCCGATTTCTCCTTGAAGAGGAGAAAAATATTATCAACACTAATGAACTAACGAAACACAAAACTTATAGGTACCTGATAGCAAAAAATAAATAGTAATAAGAAGTTCTCAATGTTCACCTGTTTTCAAGATGATTCAGTAACTTATTCATTGAATTGTTCAATTTCATGTCCATTTTCACACACATAATTGACACACGTCTTAATACAGTGAGAGGCACAACAATCTTGAAGAACCTCGTGCAACAACAGAGGCAGTTTTTCAGGAATTACAAAGACATCCTCCAATTATTTTGGATGCATTGAGATCTGAAATGGACATCAATTTCAAGAATTCAATGAATGAGTTACTGAATAATTTCGAAATTCAATTATATTGTTTTAGTGAATATTTAATCTGACTTATTGCACATTATTACCTTTTCATTAGTTACTATTTATTTTTTGCTATCATCAGGTACATACATAAGTTCTATGATTTTTTATTTAATTAGTGTTGATATTGTTTTTGTCCTCTTTATTGAAAAATCGAGGGGAATATTTCTCCAATTGGAACTTTTTCAGTGATTTTGGAGCATTTTTGGAAATTTCATATTTCTTAATTATATTGTCAAGCTTGAGGAAAAATCCCATAATCTGATTGATTTCACGAACCAAATATAAAATCAATTCCTAAAATCATTTTATTCAACAGTATAGATATTATTTGTTAAATTCATATTTCGCTTCCATTTCCGATATGCAGTCCCAGCTAGGCGAGTTCATTCCCTGCGGGCATTGTACTTGCTTGCTGATACTGCATTGATCATCAATAATCATATTCAACCTGAGGAGTAGGGAAATCAATCAGAGGGACAGTCGTAAGTACTTGCCGAGCCCAACGATGAGGGCGTGGTTTGACACATTTCTATCCTGGTGAGTAACCCTTGTGTCAGATAGGATTTATTTCATATGTTGTTCAGGTTTTGTGGTCATTTTAGTATTTTCTTTTTGGTTCATTCAATTCAAATAAACTATTCATTCTAGTGTTTTCCACTTTGCTTCATTTGATTCAAATAAACTGTTTTACATTTCTACGTAATTGCCTCGTTATTTCCAAGTCATGAATGCATAAAACTACCCCTAAAGCTACGCCCTAGACCGAACACTATTCACAAGTGTGACAATATATCATCCTGTAGGGATAAAATGAGGAATTCAATGAGCTCATGAAATACAGGGTGTTCTATTTGAAAAATCATAAGTTTGAGTCGTATCTGCTAAACCATACCTCAAAAAAACATTGAGTGTGCCACTTGATTCGGCGTTAAAATCTCTATGAGCTTAGATTCTAGTTTGACATTTTCGCTGAGAAACTTCGTAGATATAGAGGGGGTCCAAAAAGTATAAATTTTCAATATCGCCCTGTATCTCATGAACGGAATCAGTTATGCAAAATTTGATTGAGTTTCACAAAAATGTGGTACAGGACCGCGAAAACCACAAAGTTCTATCTCCAAGGATAATTTAGATATTACGTAGAAACATCGAAGACTGGACACACTGTACAGCGAATACAGGAAAGTCATGCGTGTATACAGGGTGGGCCACCAGTAACGCCTCATCGGTCTCTAGAAGGCTAACCAGTTATCTTCTTGGAATTCTTCTTCTCTAGGAAGTTGCATGTCAACATAGGCTACCATTTGAAATTATTTTGAAACATACAGGATGTCCCCAAAAATCACAAAACACTGAAGTTGCACTTTTTTCAATCGAACACCCTATATATTATTTCATTTTGAGATTCTCCCTGGTGAGCTGATTTCAACAATCCATCATACTTGGGGTCTAGCAGTTATAATTACTGAGATATAGGGTGTGAGAAATCGAGATTTTCCAAGTTCAAGAATTTTTTGTGCCTAAACCATTCATAATTGGTCAAAACGGCTCACATGTCCCTATCTCAACTTTTGATCAACTATCTACTGACATTTAATTGAAACAAATACAGGGTGGTGCAGAATTCAGAATCTTGATCACCCTGTATATAGGGTAGCCTGATTGCTAGCTTCGGATATCAATTCGCCTCGACTATAATAGACAATTTTTCGTCGCTGGTACACAAATAACTATTGGTTGCGTAGGGAATGTCCGAATATGATCTCCATCAAAATTTCCAAGTTATCCGGTGTCTGGTTCATCAGAAACGTCTGATATGTGCCATCCGCCACCATCATGAGAAGGTATCGAGTTTCCACATTTGTAGCGAATATTATTCAGACTAGGGTCGTATTTCCGAAGTGTTCATGGTGCAATGAGGTGTATATTTTCACTATCATAAATCACTATATTGATTTCGAGAGTTCGCCTCTGAATAAAATCGGAAAGTTTTAATGGGAAAAAGTTATTCATGTGTACATACCTATTGAGTGAATTCGATTTTAAGCAGTACAAGCATAGATCATTATAGGAATAATATAGGAATCTGAAGTCAAGATCTGATTTGAATTTATTTCACCGGCCTATACAGGGTCTAATAATTCAAGTATGTGGCCATCAAACTTCAAGGGGCGTTTATTTGGGTGATTCTAAAAATAATCATATGAACATAGGTCCTGAAATCCTTTGTTTTCAAGATACAGGGTGTTGAAATTGGAAGTATCGATTCTTATTTTTCGTGATTACCATGTAAAAGCTCTCATGATGGCAAAATTCAGTCTGGTTGGTAGCTGAAAAAGCCCCATTGAAATTTCGAATCAAATCAATTTTTTATTATTTACTCAGAAACTGAGTGATATACAAAGATTCAAGAAGGGACAAGGATGTTGTATTTTCTATTTGTTTAATCATATAAAAATATCGAACTTCGAAAAAACTTTGACTCAGGTACCTTTCTTACTATAAATATAGAAAAATTAATCATAACTTTCAGGCCACTGAAATGATTATTTCGACTCTAATCACACCGAATGAAGCATCTTGATACTGTTAACAAAATTCCAAAGTCTCATCGGAATTGGAAAACAGAGTTTTGAGTAATTGATAAAAAAAATGATTTTTTCAATATTGATGGGATGATGGGGTTAGCTGGTGAACAATAGTAATTTTCCTAACAAGTGCGGAAAGTTATTCTTTCCCGCACGCGACTGCCGCTGACACGAACGACGCGAAGCGGAGTTCGGGCAAGCAGTCGAGTGCGGGAAAGACACTTTCCGCATGAGTTAGGAACGATATTTTTTCTATAAGCGTAGGAAATTGATTGATTCGTTCAATTAATTATTCATGCAAATAGGAACAGCTAGCAAGAGAAATATATTCTCTATCTACTAATTATTAGTAATAGCTATTGTGAACTTTGACGCATTATGTTGGTTCATTGCGGAAGCCAGCAGGCCCATAAGGAGTTTGGTGTCTAGGTTTCAGACACTTCTATGAAATAAGCCAAAAATACCTATTCTTCATTCGGTATTTTCATTTCATTATTGTTGCACCATTCAATAAAACGCGTGTATAGCTTCTCATACCTTTCTCGAGACTTCGTTGTTAATAACGCATCTGTATCGAATCCCTATAGCTAGAAGTTTTTGATCACATTGTGGCATTTCCACTGAATCGAAAATGACAGTAACGCTGTGTCTGTCACTTCGACAATTTCAAACTTATTTGAGGTTTGATTGATGGCATGACAACAATAATCGTTTCCATCAGATCAATCCAAATCTATAGGGGGATTTTTACAATAATGAATTTTCATTTCTCAATATTTCTTAATTTTCACAATGGATAGTGCCATTTGATGGATGATTCTGAACATACATACCTATTACTGCAACAAAAAAACTTAAACGTATAGGGTGAATCACGCACGCTTGTAGAAAAAATATTTTTCAAATTGCTGTATCTCATTCCATACCCCTTATCGAAATTCAATCAATTTGAATTGATAGGCTCATTTGAAAGATAATTTCACACTCATTCAAAAACTGATTTCATTAACGGTCGCTATTGTTATTATACCGCGTCTTATAGAGGGCGTCGTTTAGGGACTATTCTATGTTTGCGAATTTTCTCGAAAATGTTTTCATCATTTATTTGTAGGCAAGTTGACGTCGTCTGTCACTTTGTATTATCCGTCAACAATAATATGGTGAAAAATTACGAAATTCACGAAAAAGAGTCGATTGATATCGTCATCAGTGAAAAATGGCTGATTCAAATTCAGATTTCCCAATTGATACCGGGGGAACAGCTCAAAATGCACTATTATTTTCATCCATTCATATTTTCATTACGTAACTGGTGTTGACATGAACATTTCATCACCAGTTATGTCATATTTTAGTTTACGCACTAGTTACCTAAAGTACCTAAGACGTTTCAAAACTTCCGTCAGTGTTGAAATGTGTGAAATTACATGTCAATATTAGAAAAAGTATCTTTTATTTCTTATGGGTGGTGGAATAGGATGAATTTGACCTGTCTTCCACAGTCGTATACCTAATTGGGAAAATACTCCCCTACTGAAATGACTCCTAATAGGAAAATTAGCTGCGTATACTCTTCTAAACATCTAAAATAAACCAACCATTATGTCATCATAAGCTTCTGCGGTAGGATGAGATATTTTTAATTTTTGAATAAATTCCAAATAGGCAAATGTCAAACTACCTAAACATGGAGGTTGCCTAGCAACCAGTATGGTTGACGTACAATTATTTCCACAGATATCATGATGGAATTGAATGAATAGTTGATTCGTTGAAAATATTTAACATGATTTTTCAATACGAAATAAGTTATTTGCGAATAACTCGAAGACAAATGAAGATATCGGATCGCGATTTGCGCCAAAATGTAGCTATTTGCGTGTTTCTCAAGAGAAATGATGCAGACATGTATCATTTTATTCAGATTATTCGAGAAAATCCGAAAAAATCGAATAGTCGGTGAACGACGCCCTCTATAAGACGCGATAAAAACTAATGACCGTGAACAGTCAGTTTTCAAATAAGTGTGGAATTATCTTTCAAACGAGCTCAAGATAACTGAATTTGGATAAGGGGTGTGGAAGATACAGCAATTGAAAAGCTATTTATTTGTTCACAAGCTTTCCCTACCATTATGATTCAAGATGCGAGACCAACACAACTATAAATTAATGATCTTTCCATTTCCGTTATCAGAAAATTACATTACGAATCGATTTTCTGAGATAATTCGAATTTCTTGTTGTATCATAGTAACTTCGCCTCTACTGACCATTTCAGAAATATGAAAATATTTTGAGCCAATTTATCGTCGCCAATTTTGTCAATAGATTTTTTTTAAGCTGTAAGATTTATGGTTTCCGTAATATCGTTCCTCGCCGACCTTAGTGGGACACCGTGTATATATTTGGTATTGCTCGCTCTAGAATATTTGATTTACCACGAACACATTATTTTCAATTTGCCTCATGCATACTGAACTTACTGTAGACATTTATTGTTCCCTCCATATCCCCTAAGGAATTTTTCGATATACATTTGTAGACTCCATAATCTTTTGGTCCTAAGGAACTTATTCTGAGTTTCATATGTACTTTATATCCATCTTCTATTATTTCTGGAACATACTTCGCACCTGGAAACAGATCAGATATATGTATTTGAAGTACTCCTCAAGAAAACCGTAGGTTGAAACAAATTAGGTCAGTTTTCAAGTATTTTCCCCGTTATTTGTATACCTGCTACTACATTCGGTCTATTTATTGTAATACTGCTCGAGAAGTTAGATGAGCAATTAACCTCTGATATTAATGGACACATTACACACATTAACTATCAACCTCAAAAATGTATTGCTGAGCTTCTATTTCAAACTTTTTGATCATAAAATAATTATTCTCTGGTAGAAGTCCATAGTGCTTTAAGTGGAGTGAAATATTTCAAATGAAGGAATGCTCGAAGTCATCTCCACAAATTTTAATGGTGCTGTTACACATTAATAACCCTAATAACACACTTATGTCCCATGGATATCCTGTGGACGTCCTGACGAATTTGGTACCGTGGACGTCCATTGGACATTCATGTGAGGAACTTCAAATGACAAATTTGTTATCTGAAATCCAATGTCTCCATAGTTTAAAATTCGAACTGAACTTTAAAACACATATTTCCTATGGGTTTAGTTGGGTATGACGCAATATATTTTTACTATAGAAGTTTATTCTACTTGTTAGTAACTAAGGTTTATTACTAACATTTCAGGAATATTATAAACATCAATTCATTTTCAATCATCTGATATTACAATGTCTACTTAGTTTAAAATGAAACATAAAAAGAACATATTACCGATGGGCTTAGTTAAATATATAACGCACTATACTGGGTAACTCACGGTCCATGGTACGTTAGACGTTTACGGAGAACGGGACATAGGATCATTCTGAAATTTTGGTTACTCACGTAGTTGCTTTTGGTCTATCGATCTAAAATATTTTATTGCATTTTCAGATTCTCTCTGAAGAGCTGATTTCATCGATGCATCACACTTGGGGTCTAGCGGAAATGATTACAGAGATATAGGGTGTGAAAAATCGACATTTTTCAACTCCAGGAATTTTTTTTGTCGAAACTATTCATTATTGGTCAAAACGGCTCACATGTCCCTATCTTAACTTTTGATCAACTATCTACTGACATTTAATTGAAGCAAATACAGGGTGGTGCAGAATTCAGAATCTCGATCACCCGGTATATGTCTTCATTCATGTTCTAGAAGAAGTTTATAGTTATTGAGGTATTCTCTGATTTGACAATTCCAAATTTCCTCAAGCAGTTTCAGAAGTATTGAAATACACATCGGTCTTTGAGTTCGCAATTCCAAAACCGTGCTGGGGTGACGGTTGAAATATCGGGTGGATTATGAATATATCTCATCTTATTGTCCTTGATTTTTGAATTTATTGATTTTTATCGGATACAACTGATGATCATTTAAAATAATTTGATGATGAAACATTCATCAAATATTCAAACCTACCTAAAAGTTCGTTGCAGGGAATACAATTCACATCAAAGATGTTTCGAATATTTGTCATTTATCATATACAGTATTTCTGAGGTGATAACATTCCAGTTAATCAGGTGCGATCACAAAAATTCATCTTTACTTGACTATTTCTGATTTCCTACATGAATGAGAAACGATTTAGATATTCGATCGTTTTGTGAAAAAGTGTCTTTCACTAATGTTAGGGTCTCATATATTATCGTAGTGGGCTATAGAAAAGGCGAATTCTGACAAAATGCATAGCAGGATGATAAGTTTTGGTAGTACCTGTGTTGAATGGAAGGTTTCGACCCGTTATTCCAGTTATAAAATAATGATAACTATCACCACATCAAGTGAAATACACTGTTACATGCGGAAGGGTTGGTTTGTCTCTCTCTTCAATGAATACCAATGAATCTGTTGCAAATTGACTTGTCTGGTTTGCTAGGACGTTTATGTACTCACTATGGGGTATTATTTCTCCAGTGTCCTTGGTCCAGTAGTTGATTGATTTTGGAAAAGCCTGAGAGTAACACTCTAAAGTTACTTGTTGGTCGTCATAGGCACCTATCAACTGATATTGAATCCATACCGAAGGCGAAACTGCAAAAATAAACCAAGAATGCAATCATAAGAAATCAAACGCACTATATCAGACATTATGTCCTCTACATAGTATTTTCCTATATAGTAAGTTCATTTATGCGTAATTTGTAGTTGTTTCGTGAATTATTGAATATATAAGTACTTATGAGTAAATATTTCATTCTCAGTTCCTTGAGCCAAATATTTCGGAAATGTTTTTATTATACAGGGGATGACACGAAGGATGTTTATTCGTACTTGCGGATTGCTCTACGAGCAGTTGCTTTATGAACTCCCACTGCACGAGCGGCGTAACGTTTACTCCGCCCATCGTTTACTAACGCAACTAATCTCGCTACTTGTTCAGGATGTATTTGAGGCATTTTATGTAATTTTAGTCAATAAAACAAGACACTTAATTAATGACACAACAACAAATGGTCGAATATGGAGGCATACAATAAATAAGTTGCTATGGCAATGGCATTTGCTTTTTTAAAGACAATGTGATCCTACCAGAGTACAATCCAATCAATTTTGCGTACTCTGATCCTTCAATAAATTTGTTGTGGGATAAGCGTAAGGTATCAGCAAAAAAGCTGTAAATCGGAAAATTTCAGAGATAAATCAATGAATAAAAGAACAAAATGCTCGCAAAAGAAGCCTCTTTCGTATAGGGTGCAAGCACTTTTCATACCATTACTCAATTACCACACAGGGTGAGTCAACAATCAAGAATAAATCATGGTTCGAGTTATTCCACCACCATAAAGGAGGCTTTGAAAAAAATGTCACCTCTTTATTTTTCTTCAAAGACAAAATGCATAACCTACCAACAAGTGAAAAAAAAAATATAAAAATCGGCCTACTATTTTTTTTAAGAAGATAGGTCAAATATCAAGTCGTTCACTCTTTTGGAACTGATGAGTGTATATGCGTTCGTGGATAAAATCATCTTGTCCCATGTGTGTTTGATGCCCTTCGCTACGCGTTGAATTACCTTTGCAATGATGTATAAGATGAACCGTATCCCCTATACAAATTATAGAGAGGATTGGTCTCTCTCTTCTTTGCGTCAAACGGGACCACCGGACCACCTGGTATATGTACTACTTATTATTCTCCTGGACTTCAATTTTTCTTACACATACGTTAACATTTCACACTAGAGTCATTGGATGGTATTAGTTAGATGAGAGTGCAGACACAGAAATGACAACTGTTATTATTTTTGAAAATTTGGATTTATGAAGTAACACACCTTGCATTGTGACAAGAGTACCCGTCCCGCAATTTTTCATTCGAAATTGTTTGAATTTGACAATATATTTCATGAGCGTCAGAATTCAAATATAATTCCATAACTATTGAGAAAAAAACAAAAATGGAAATGTCTAGCTGTGTAATGAATTGTGGGAATTCTGGAGAGAATGGATCTCATATATTTAATATTCCAAAGGAAATATCAATATTTTTTTTGTGGAGGTAGCTAATGCTTGATACAGCCTGGATAGAAAATTGATCTGAGGACAAGCAAATTTTGTGAGGTAAATTCACTTTTTATAACAGGAGATTATAATGAAACTATATATCAGGCCCATTTCCAAACAGTATAATTAAATACCCGTTTTAGAGAATCTGCTGGTACATCCATTCACGAAACATCCACGAGATGCAAAACGAAATAATGGAGAAAGGGAAATTGATTGCAAAACTTCGCAATGGAATTGAAAATTTGAGAACGAAACCGGAGGAAATCAAGTATATTGTAACCTGATGTATCACTGAATGGCGTTTTCAATAACGACCAAATTCAAAATTTATCAAAGAATAGTGAAAGCGGGAAAATGTGGAGAATCAAAACAATAGATAATGCGATTGCCATCGAATTTACATATTGGTACCACGAGCTATGAGCACTTGCTTCCGTCTATCAGGACCCTATCTAGGAAAATTGACCACATAATTTCAACCTTATAAGTATATCCATATGTGTCTATTTTGTCGTGATGAAATGCATTTTTTTCATCTCTATAACTGTTGTTCTGCGAAAAGTGTATCACTATGAATTGGAGTGCATGGGTGTTTATACCCTATTTCTATATTTCATCTACGACTATGATTGATTTGACAGAAAATTTAACCTTCAAAATCTTATATCTGACAATCAGGCGCTACTAGAGGAATTGAAAAGAGAAAGAGCAGGATATGTGACTCATTCAATCAAACCAAAATAGAAAAGGACAGAAAATCATCTGTGTCTGAACTCATATCTAATAGTATCATCGAGTGACTCTATTTTACGCTGAGCGCTGCTTCTTGCATATTGAAAATCAATATTTTGGTTTCCTATTTTTCTATATTGGCAACATTTACGATTCTCTTATTACACACAATGCAGAGATGTATAGAAATTTAACTGGTGCGCTTGCTCCCTATTGAAGGTCGTTTGCAAGTTTCTCGATGGCGCCTACTTTGATAAACCTTTGATAAACATACTTGACGTGGGTAAATCTCGCTAAGCTCATCCTGGTTACAATCCATATTTACAGGAAACATATTACCGACCGATAAATATTTGGATACGTATATGATTTGGATCAGAGCAGTGAACTGATTCCTGATCAAAGGATCGAAACGTCAATGTGTCAAAAATATTCTTGAGCTGAAATAGTAATTTTCCTAACAAGTGCGGAAAGTGATTCTTTCCCGCACGTGACTGCCGTTGACACGAACGACGCGAAGCGGAGTTCGGGCAAGCAGTCGAGTGCGGGAAAGAAACTTTCCGCATGAGTTAGGAACAATATTTTTTCTACAAGCGTAGGAAATTGATTGAATCGTTCAATTAATTATTCAAGCAAATAGGAACAACTAACAAGAGATATATATTCTCTATCTAATAATTATAAGTAATAGATATTGTGAACTTACAGTTTGACGCATTATGTTGGTTCATTGCGGAAGCCAGCAGGCCCATTAGGAGTTTGGTCTCTAGGTTCCAGACACTTCTATGAAATGAGCCAAAAATACCTATTCTTCATTCGGTTTTTTCATTTCTTTATTGTTGCACCATTCAATAAAACGCGTGTATAGCTTCTCATACCTTTCTTAAGACTTCGTTGGTGATAACGCATCTGTATCAATTTCCTATAGCTAGAAGTTTTTGATCACATTGTGGCATTTCCACTGAATCGAAAATGACAGTAACGCCGTGTCTGTCACTTCGACAATTTCAAACTTATTTGAGGTTTGATTGGCATGACAAATTGACGTTTCCCGTCAGATCAATCCAAATCTATATAGAGGGATTTTTATAATAATCCATTTTTATTTCTCAATATTTCTTAATTTTCACAATAAATAGTGCAATTTGATGGATGATTCTGAACATACATACTTAATACTGCAACAAACAAACTTAAACTATTATATTCAATCACCAACCACTTATATTACTAGCGATTTTATCATATCTTTGTTTTCCCGCACTGTTGCGGGAAAATGACACTTCCCAAACTAAATTGCGTGCGGGTATAGGGTGAATCACGCACGCTTGTAGAAAAAAATGGTTATTTCTGAGATTGGGGTCAAGTGTTCGTTAGGGACGTGTTCCGTAGTTTCTGAATTTTGTATATAATACCTAATCCACCATAGGTGAAAGAAAATCTATGTTCTACAACAGTGATTTGGAATATTAGCGTGAACTGGTGTGAATAAATTCTAAGGTGAGTACCAGTTACCATATATCTGCCTATTATGATTTTCTATATTGGTCCATTTCAATAGTTGATACATTCTTTGTTCTGGTTCTTCAAAGAGGAAATTCATCAGATTTTATGCTTTAAATAGGTTCATGTCATAAAAGAAGTGAAGCTTATTAAAATCGACTACAAAAAAGATTTCTTGCTTCTATTTCAAATTGAAATTTGAATGAAAATGTTGAGCACAGTATTCATTCGACCACAGAACAATGATGGAAATAGATTCATCCCTCACAGTACCAAGGTTTTGAACGATTTTCCGATTATAGCGCCTCTATCGCGAATACCTGAACCCCACGTCCAAAACTCGCTTGCAATTGTTCCATATCGAGAGTTAGTCTGACGAAACAATTGAAGAGTGAGCCCACCAGTTAAATTTCTATACATCTCTCACAATGCCAAGGTGCTGTCATGTTCAGTATTGTCATGTCAAGAAAATGTCATTGAAATCCAATTTCAGAATTTCCAATTCGTATAGAATCTCCGTGAAATAGACGAAGGAAAACAGAAATCCCTCTGTATATAAATGTGTGATTAACGAATGTAAAAATATTTCTAGAATAAACAGAAAGTCATCATTTTATAAGTTTTCACGAGGTATTCACAAAAGTAGGGAATGGACAAAAAGGATTGGAGAATCGGCTGAAGTTCTGAATTAAATCAAACTGAACGAACACAAACGAGTTTGCAGTATTAATTTTGGTTTAGGAGAGCATGGACGGTTGAAAACTCTGGGAAATGAATGTGATGGGTCCACCAAATTATTTTCCTGGAGGACAAAATCTGAAATTTCGAGATTTTCATCAGCTAGATCTATTTAATACTGTAACTTCATTTTCTATTACCGATTCAAGCACTCAAGGTGCAAATGACAAAATAAAAATTGAATGTATAAATAATATTCATTCACATATTTCCGAATCTGGTGTGGATGGTTCCTCGCAAGAATTTGAATTTAGTGAAAGCGGATCAAACAACGTCTATACAAAATCTTCATTTTAAGTGCATGTAATTCTGATATATAAAATAAATATGAATGATTGAGAATAAAACACAATATTCGATTTTTGTCACCTTTCAGTATATTATATTCAGGTTGTGTTCCATAGAAAGATATATCAAAGAACTTTCTTAACTTTATTCGACTTAAACATCTTACATCCTTCCGTGTCCGTGTAACCTCGGAAATATCCATTTTGTTGTTTCAAATATATTTCCTTATCTGGATTATGTGTGAAGTCCGATGTCAGTTGACCGAAAGTCTATTCGTTGAAAGTCAATTCGTCAAAGTCAATTCATCGAGAGGCAATTGGCTCGATTTGCCAATTGACTGATTACGTGAGTTGGACTAAATTGCCCGATTTTTTTGTGGATATCTATATTTCACACTCGAATCATGAACAACAAAAGATAGTTATTTGCGTTTTTCATACTCCTGTCACTGTTGTGTATCAGTTCTCATTCCATCGCTGAAGAATGAAGAATAATCAGAAAATATTCGAAAATTGATGACCAGGTCTGCTTCATTTTAATTTACGTTTCAATCATTCAACGATTCTATACATATTCTATTCAGTTAATAATTGATGATACATTATTTGAAATTATCAGCAATCGACAGATTCAGGATTTCTAAAATGATCCACGACATATTTATATTCACTCTCTTGGCTAGATCGACATAATATTCTCATACGTTTCTCGTCATTCCAGCCAACGTCTGTTTCATTTCGTGTTCAAAATATGGTTATTCTCTTATACCGTTCAATATATTATAATTATTATACCATATCGAAGGATGACTACAAGAAATCAATCTTCCTAGTTTTCTATGCCATACTTCTGAAGCATTATTCAATCTATATGCAGATCATGCTTGATTCGTTTATAAACATTCCACCATCATTGGCAAAAATTGGTATTTCCCTTAGTGTTTTCATAGACGACCTATCTGTATATACGTATATCTTCGAATTAGCATAAATCTGTAGGGCTTCTGGAAGATGAACTGAAAGAACTTCGGAAAGACATTCGGAATATCTTATAACATATGGAATTCGACGAATTGACCCAATTTAGTCCAACTGACGTATTTGGCCAATTGGCGTATTTCGCCAATTGACTTTCGACGAATAAACTTTCGGTCAACTGACATCAACCCATCTGTGAAACTATCGACACCATTCTTTGACATTTTGGTCCAGCACGGAACCTTTGGTGTATTTATTCTAGAGGGAAATACGTTGTTGGATCATCTAGGGAAAAATATGATTAATAGCATTTACTTTGTGTCCACTAGCAATGGTTTTCTTTTTCATGAAACTACTTAATCAGACACAAATGTCAATTTTAATTTTCGAATGACGCGTTCTGTAAGAAGCGTTGCAAATTGAAGAATATTCAATTTGAATTCACGAATTAGTTCCAATTTGCACCATATTCTGCGTAAAATGGTCTATTAACATATATGACAATCTTCACGGCTCATAACCTCATCGTTTTATATGTCTAACTTACATTGTACGACCAGTTTTATCCTCTTGCTCACTGATGGTGGGATGCCATTGGTAGCTATGCATAGGTATGGTCCCATGTGGTCTCTCTTCACGTTCGTTATATTCAATATCTGCCCGGTAATACTATTCACTAAAAAAAAAACAGATTTATCTAGTTTCAGTTTTTATCGAAGTGGTGAGTTTGTGCAAATAATGACAGTGGCAGAGTGGCCATGACAGGTATCCTCATCGTCACGAAAGAAAATCCGGAGAATTCCAGTGGGTTACCGATTCAGAAACCAAATTGGAGTAATTAATTCCACGAACTCTTCCACTGTCACAGCTCGTGAAAGCAGCAGATCGGTTAATTCCTTTTTTGAACTTGTCACTGCTGTGTAATTTCCCAACGATGGAAATGGAGAAACACGGAAATGTTTTCATTACTCGTCAGGTTGAAAGCAGAGTGTAATCAAATCATTGTTGGTAGAACTGATGATTATTTGCATAGGAGTTCGGCTCGATCAGAAAATTCGGTGAGGGGCAGTGGTAATTCATCATATCAAACAAGTATGTATGTATATCCGAAACAACTCAAGGAAACGTCAAATGAGAAGCATTTCGATTTATCATAAGAAAAACTGGAATGAGAAGTAGAATATCAATTGAAAAATACATGGGTAACATAATGAAGTGTAAAAAAATGAGAACTTATGGAAAGAGACTGAGCAGAATAGGCATGGTCACCGGATGTTCAAGCTTTTCCATTGGTGACAAATTACCTAACAGGTGCATAAAGCTGCGCACCTAGGGCCTCCGCAAACCTGAGGACTCGTTGTCATTTTGGAGGCATATGGAATATGCATCAGAATATACAGCTCTCCATATTTGCCGAAACTCATCATCAGATTTTGACATTGAAAATAAAATGTCAGTGTTGCATTTTTATTTTTTTTTTAAGTTTCCATAATGTCATAATCTCATGTGTGACTCTTCTGTGACTTGTGGATTATCCTAATGCAAGACTGCTAGTTTATTGCTCCTGGGTCCATTAAAGTAATGATCTGCCACTGTTTATCAGTGGCATCTAAATCCTGCTTTTTTTAATCCACGCAGATGGCCTGAAATCAAAGACCCCAAACTTGTACGAGAAAATCCGGACAGAATGAGTATCTACAGTTACAGTTAATTAATATTTGATGAATCTGTCATATATAAAACATAATAATTTGGAGGAAAACATCAGCAGACAGGGCTTCGAAGAGAAATTTGGGTCGAAGTGGAGTGGAATATGTAAAATTTGAGCAAGGAGCGCTCGAAGTCGTTCACTACTTTAACTACCTACTAAAGTTGTGGGGGTATGCGTCCCTTACTCTCTTTTCATAGTTTCTGGCCAGTTCTAGGCTTTAGAGAATTCTAATTTGGTTGACTGAAGCCTTCTTAGTGTCGAAGTCAGAAGTGACCAAGAATAAAGATTGGTACCGCATCAAAAATGCTTTTGCCATGAAGAATAATGCACATACACATATGAGTGTCCTGCCGCAATATTTAGCGATCTAAATAGAGCTTTGTGAATCATGAAAATTTCACGAATACATATCAACCTCGAGATGAAATCTGATACTTTTTTTTCCTTTTATTATTGATGAGTATTGTACCTTCAGTGCCATTCTGAAACCGAATCATCTCTCCATCTTCTCTTTTCCAAGTTATTGCAGGTTCTGGAGATCCTTTCGCGATGCATTGTAGACTAACGTTGGAACCTTCGTCGACTACCATATCCGCACTTGTTGGATAGTCTAGAATATCGGGGGGAACTGCAAAATAAAAAAGAATTTTATGATCAATTTATAGGTATACGAATAATTTCAACAGATTCTGGGAATACCGTCGAAATTTATAGCATTTTCATGAACCTAAATCTCATCACAACCTGGTTAGTAAAGGTAGCTATTTATCAGGAGATATCCAGGAGGTATAAGCTTTGATGGAAGGATGACGTAATCTATTAGATATTGGATACATCACTCGAAGTAACCGAATATTGCATCAATATTGCATTTTCAGCCGGAGAGCTCGAAATAGGTAGAGCTAGTGTTTTAGAAACCAGTATCCACGAATATTTTTTTTCATTCTTAGGTACAAACTTTGTGATCATGATTTTGGAAATTACAACTAATGAGGTGAAATGATTGGACATTCGTTAGTGATATTTTATTTGACGTCACATGCCTGTCAGATCGATGATTGAAACCTTGAATTGACACGTTGACCATTCAGACTTGCACGAATCCGTTTTGCCCAAACATATGCATGGACGATTCCTATATGAACCAATCAGAGCGATATGAGCAATGGCGGTAAGTTCAAATCATTTTATGCAACGATAATATCCATTACATGATCGTTGCATGCACTATTTTTTCTACGACCAATAAATTACCATGAGAGGAAATATTCATTTCTTACTGTTCATATTTCAACACTCCATAAATTGCCTGTACTATTGATGCGTTGTCATTGGATCTAATTCGAAATTAAATGTCAAGCAACTCAAGCAAGTGAGATAGAAACGTAGACACGCGTGTTTCTTCCCAAATACGTTCGTGTTTCTATATGCCGAAAATTCGTCATAATGAAAAGTAGGTAAGTGTCTTCATTGGTCTAAATCTGTATCATATAATGTAAATAAGTGTTTAAATAAACACTATTAAGAAATCGATAGCAGATATTTGATTCACGTATTGTAATACGGGAGTAGAAAATAGTACATTGTTTTATTAGGATAAAATGTGACACTTTGTTTGACAAAGGATATTAACGTTTGCGAGGCGGTGCGACAGCGAAACAGAGTCACTTTTGATCCGAATGAAACATGCTATTTTTTCTGCAATCGAAATGATTGATATCTATTGGATAACATGAAAAAGAAAATACCACTATTCAGAGTCACTTGAGAATGTCAGTGTCAAACTTCAACTTTAACTCCTAGAAACTGGAAGTATTGCCTAGCAACACACATACTAATTATTTTATTGTGTCAGTAAGAGATAGTTATCTTCAAGAGCTGATTTTGGAACAAAAATTGACGACATTAGAGCCTATCGCAGAAAAATAATGATATAATTATATCATCCTCTTCTTCTTCCTGATCATTTATTTCACAGGGCATCAAATTTGTCTCAACTCTTCAGCTGTTACTTCTCTATCTCTATTCTCTTAACTCCATTCATCACTTATCCCAGACCAAAAAGAGTTGTGAATAATCCGCTTAGATTTAAGGACTATGTTTGCTCAGGGTCTATGTGATATAATATTGCCATATGATGTTGGCAACACTGTAAGTTTTTTATGTGTTCATGTCTGTGACATGACAAGTGACAAGTGAAGGACGACTTTCCCGCGCGTGGTGTGGCTCTCGATATGCTAATAGGTCGTAAGGTCGAGCTTTTAGAGAGTCCAATAAATAATATGAACTATAATAATTGGGACTCAATAATGAATATCGTTGATGTCGTATGTAAATAATACTGTGTATAAAGTGTAAATATACTTGTAAATAGTAGTGCTGGGTTTATGTATAAAACAATCCCACAACACCCAGCGTATGACATTACACTTCCATTTTTTGTTCAAGATCTTGTATCGACAGTTGTATATTGTAAATGTATACCTCAATGTATACCTCGATGTATACCTAACATTTAATTTATTTTTATCGTAGTGGAATATTGAGTATCCCTCGATATAGCTGAGCCACATTCTTTTTTCTTTCCCAACATAAAAATAACATCGTGAAATGAATAAAAATACTTCAGATTTATTTGTTTACATTGTGGACTAGGAAAAATATTCGTCTTCCTGAATAAGAAATAACAACTCATATCGATTTGTTATCCAGTCGCACCTATAAAAGACGAAAATAATAATAATAATTATCGTCTTGCCTGAAAAGGAATCGTATCGAAGTATTATTTTTATTTCATTGTCATTTTTTTATTGATTTGATACTCGAATACCTTTGAACCTAAAGAATGAAATAAACCAATCGTGAGAATATGTATTTATGTTCAATTGTATCTTAACGAGCATATAATGATGTATAAGATACCTAGATACATAACTGGATTTTTATTTCCCTAGAGAAACCGATTTGTTATATATAGATAGGTAATATGAAGGAGTATTTCATTATTAATATAATCAATTAGTTTTTATCGCATGGTGCTTAGGGATAATGGCTATAGCCAATTTGCATGCAATGTAGATTGTTAATATGAATAAAATAATCGAAAGATATAAATATTACAAAGCCGCAGTGCTATAGGCATGATTATAGTATAGTCTATTTTTCCCCAGTTCCAGAAGATGATTATAAATATCCATAACTGTAAAGACTGGTTTCTGGTTGAGTATGTATGCATATCTGCTAAGCTCAACATGGAACCTTGATTTTTGTGGATCAGATGGGAAAATTTGTACAAAGATTGTTTATCGAATAGAATAGAATAATATATTGACAAACAATGACACTTATTGGCAGCATGGCAGTAGTTACAAAAAATAGCGGTTTTGCTTCACTGTGGTGGCCAGGACGTTGCCAGAAGTGGCCAGACGTACGGAATCCGAATCAGTCTCTCTTGCTATATTTTATCGTATGTAATACAAAAGGTCTAAATCAACATAATTTGTTTCAAGAATAAAAAATATTTTTTTTAATCTTCGATAGAATGATTTGTATTTCATAAGATTATTTCAAGAATAAATTGATAACTGGCAAACAATATTTACGTATATTGAATGCCCATTCCGTGAGGATATCCGCAAGTTTTTCATCGGATGTATGTCCTTTCAGTTGGTGATTTCGTTGAATGCAAAATTCTGGTAATTGTTATCAGATATATTTTTTCGACGGTATTTCGCGGCTTCAAACTATTTCTGTCATTTTTCATTCCTTCGCGATTGTAATCACTGAAACGTTTTTTGTTTTCCTGCCACAGCCCTCTCAATTCGAATAAGCCTATTAACCCCTATTAACCCCGCTTCATCGCGCTCCATCAACCATAGATCATCTACAGAACGCTTATGCAACTAACAAAACAATACTCAGCATTGTTGATAAGAGAGATATGTTCGACAGGTTTGCGCCTGCGGTATAGTCAACGCGTCGACTATGCGTCGACGGTCACAGATAGCATTATTTTTATTTATTGTCGTTTGCCGTTTTGTCTGCAAGTGAGGTTATGTCAAAGTTATGATTTATTAATTATGTAGAATTCAACGAATTATTTTGGGTCTTTTGAATTCAAAATAATAGTGTGTACCTATCCAGTTCTCGGCAGTTTGAAGTTTGAATTGTGATTTTGTAATTATATTATGACGGCATCGACAGTCTTTCTGGTGAGTCATTATTATTTTTTGTTTTATGAACTGCCATCACCGCCAATGAGGCAGCGAAATACAAAATCGAAAACACAGCCATGTAGGTATCCAGTAGCCAATCAACTGTCGAAATACAGAAACGAAAACATCATGATTTCGATTATCAACACAAACATTTCAACCAATTTCAAACGTGTATTTCCATTTCATTTACATGAACTATGAAATTCATAAATGAAAGAAAAGACACCAAGTCGGTCGACCACACTTTATAATAATGTGTACTTGGAGTCTTTTCTTTCATTTATGAATCATTTACATGCCCTATTTGGCAAACAATCTGTATATACAGGGTGTTTCGTAATATGCGGGACGCACTTCGAGAGGTTATAGGGCGTCTCAAGGAAATAAAAGAAGTGTCCATGAACAAAAGTCGTTTAAGGCTTCGTTCACGAAACACAGGGTGTTCAAGTTGAGACTAAAAAATAATTTTCATAGCATTTCTAGATCTTGAAAAAAAATTCTAGATATTCTGGTGCATAACTCAGTACCTGAAAGTGATTGAATGGGATGTCAATCTGACTCGCAGTGGCACCGTTGAGGGGTATTGATGTGTCATATTTCAGAAGAAAACATGGGTGGCTATGAAACTTTTCGAAATTTCATTTTTCAATATGAAAGAGTATGTAATTTTGAAGAAAAAAGCGCCAAGTGTTGAAATTTGTGAAGATACATTGTTTTCGAGTGAAACCGAATGACCAAATTCAACTTCAAAATTTAATATAGATGTCCGAGGATGTCGGAAAGTCCATTCAAGACATCTGTTCAGACACTCTATAACCCTGATAGATATAATTCTGTTATTGAATATATATATTTTTTATTTTCTTGAGACGCCTTATCACCTCTCGAAGTGTGTCCCACATATCACGAAACAACCTGTATATAAAAGAGTTGAGGTGAATATTCTAGTTTGCAAAATAATTCTTGCATAAATCTCTGTTCCTCATCAGATTAATACTCTTCGAGTCGCGCCTATCTGTATAATGACTGTGTAGATGTTGATATATAACATTTTGTGATATGTTCATCGTTTCATCGTCTACAATACTAGAGCGTAGCCATAGCACCAGTGCGAGAATATTGCGCCTGGTGCGCAGGTCGCATAAATGACTTCATCATACTTCGTCTCGTAAGCAACTGGTTGGCTCAGTAAGCAGAGCATCGGCATGCCAAGCCGGCGGACCGGGGTTCGAATCCGTGCGAGGCTCATCTTTTTTTTATTTTTTTCTTGTTCTCAAGTGATTTCTAAAAAATATTCTCTATGGGAAATAGGTTCATTTAGGGGTTTTCTATGTTTAGGCCAGAGGTGAGGTTCGGTTAGGTTAGGTTAGAATAGAATAGAATAGAATATTTTATTTGGTGTTAATAAACA